AAACACTGAAAACTAGATCTTTTTAATGTTTGTCCCGTTTTAACAAGGACACTATCAATTATAAATTCACGGGAAACGTAGTAAAATTAGAAATAAGTTGAGCATCTGAGATCACCCTAAGTTTTTGGTGGGGTTCGTGTTGCTCAGTCTTTAGTTTTCTATGTTGTGTTTTGTGTTTTGTTCTTTGTCTGTTTGTCTGTTTGTCAGTTGGTCATTTACTTTTTTAGCCATGTCGTTGTCAGTTTATTTTTGAATGTCCCTTTAGTATCTTTCGCCTCTCTTTTGAAATAAAAAAAAACTTCCATTTAAGGATGTTGGCTACTCTGTTTCAAAATAACAAGCTTTTTAAAAGGCTGTTATAAATTGATAGTATATAAATAAAGGAACTTAAAAAGCAGATAAAAATGTAGGGTCCATGTGCTTGTTTTTGAGATATAAGCCATTGAAAATTTGGCAGGAAATGATTCTCTCTGGATTTTTCATACATTTAACATTAGCACCTTTTTTCTTTCAAAAACTATGAAAAAATAACAAGGATTTAATAAATTTTTCAAAAATGGCTTTTTAAACTATATGTAATAAAATTATGAAAAGAAAGTAGGGGTTAGCGGGCAAAATTTTTATTGTCACTACCATGGATCAAACTAGAGGATTCCGAATATCTGACAAAAAGTAAAAAAAACAAGAGTAGCAAACATCCTTAATGTTATCATTTCCCTCCGTAAATAGCAAACGACGAGTATGGGCAGGTTATAGGAGCTTGACGTAAAATTGGTTTAAAATGTTGCTATGCAAATAAATTCCTGGAGCACCAACTTTAATTTATTTTACTACTGGCTGTATACCTCTCTGGAACATGTCAATTATCCGTATATATATATATATGCAGCTTGATCAAAAAGTTCAGAGAAAAATTCTAAAGGAATTGATTGATATGCAGCAAAGATTAATACTTTGAAATGAAGTTACTAAGCAAATTCAAACGTACCTTATCCTGATGTAAACATTGAATGTGAATAGATCGAGAAGACCGCAAATACATGTACAAAATTCGAGACGACCTTTTGTTAAAATTGTATAAAAAATAGTAAAAAGATTCCTACTTTATCAAAATATTTAACTTTAAATTTTTGAAGCTGCACAGACAGACTTTTAAATTGTTATATTCACGAAAAGACAAATTTTTATATCGAATGTTCACGCGAAACTGAGAGCAGACCAGTGTATTCAAAAACTTCGATGTGAAAAATAAGTATATTTGGGGAAATTGTAACGTGCTTACGACTTTATGAAGTACTCCGAAAATGGGTGACCTGAAAGATCTATAGATTTTGTATGTACATGATTTTTTCTAATTTTTTGTATCAATACGCAGGAAAGATTAACATGTTTTAGACTTCAGTTTCACAAGCTTCTAAAGTAATTATCTCAATCAATACTGAACATTAAACATCATGTATTTGCATGTATATTTTTAATAACACAATTTTATAAATACTTTCTTTAAAATATACAATAGTTGTTTAGAAATTACTTTAATCAGTATCGTCACCGGAATTGTTTTCTTATTGATTTTCTCGACTTTTTTATAAGAAGAGTGAATTTTCTACTGTTCTCGTTCACTAGTTTGCCCACTGCTTCACAACTACAAAACCATGTGTCAACAAAAAATAAACCGAACAATTATAAAATTGTAAATAAAAGATACACATTTTGGGATACGTAATGCAAATATACATATAATGAAATCATGAAACAATATAGCTTACCAATAACCAATGTAAAATTTGATAATAATCAATAAACACAAACAACTCATCCGTAAATATGAACTAGATAAAACAAAAATCATCTCTGTATGCTGTATGTCATCTTCACAGTTAAATTTTGTAGCCACAGATTTGTTGCTCATTTAATTATTTTTTCTTCTCTTAAATGCACATTTAATTGGCCTATTAAAAAAATCATATAAGCCCAGTAGTAATTTTGCAATCCTGGGTTTATCAACCTGTAGTAAATCTTGAAAACTGATATAAAAAACCCAATTCATTTCAGTATATATAACACGAACACCAAAATTTAAACATATGCTGTATTAAATCATAATAAATATTAGACAAATAAATAATTATTATTTAGGCTGTGACCGGTTGTTTATTCAAAACAATGCTATATGCGATGCATACAAACTCTGTACTTTATCCTTAGTCAATGACACCCATATTTGAATGATCGCTAATGAATACTTAAAGGATAATTAAACAAAACATAGGAAAATTTAATTTGTTCATCAAAAGGAAAACATGTTACGCATGTACTAGGCGTGTTCAGCCATTAAAGGAAAACATTGAAAATGAAGCAAAGGTGAAACATTTCGTTGACTGGTTCGATCCACAAAAAAATCATTCTTATACACTCAGGTAAAAACGATGATTAACTTATTTTTTTAAACTATAACATGAAATCAAACAGACCTAGGGAAATCCAATTGCTCGTGGACTCAATCTTTTAATATTTATGTTTATGTTTATATCGGGTTATGTGACCGTCGGCAGTCTTCTGAGGTCATCTCGATGGTTAATTAGATGGCTTCTAGACAAAAATACACACGAAATGTTTATATATATTATCGAGTTCATGCATTGTTCACTGATTATTTAGGACTTATTGTAATTTGGATATACGTTTGAGTATGTTATAAATCAAATATGAGAATTTGAGTCAAATCGGTGAACATGGATTTGAAAGCTAAAGCCCCTTTAAGAACAACCTCACATCTTATGTAATAGATTAGTTACGTAAGAAAATAATAATTTTTATCTGCACATGTAAATATGTTTTTAATGAGCACCACATTGATGCGGATTTAGTACTTGCGTGAAGGAAGGATCTTAGACCCTTTGTATTTCAACGATGTAGAAGTATTCCGAAATTATAAATGTATTTATCCAGTGTTGTCAAATTAAACAGTTGTGCCTTACCGGTTACTCGGATAATCTTTCGATCGATTAACCGGTTAAAATGTCGACACATTTCAGACCAATACAATAGTCAATTCGTGATTCAGAGAGAAAAAAAAGGGGGGGGGAGGCTGATGATTGAGAAGTATTGAACTATTTACTAGTTCATTGAAAGGATACTCAGTCTACAAATAAAACCCAATAATCAAATAAATTAACTTGGGAATAATTTTCGAGAAATTATTTTTATTTCTGTTTACCATTAGGTCGCCATGTGCTTCTGTGGTTCTGTAATTAGCGTCCCTTTATGACGAAACACCTCACTTGTGTTAGTAAAACCACCAAATAAGAATTCAAAGGTTTAATAATTCTAAATACTCCCTGACAATATTAAACTATTTACTAGTATTGAACTATTTACTAGTTTATTGAAAGGATACCCAGTCTACAAATAAAACCCAATAATCAAATTAATAAATTAACTTGGAAATAATTTTCGAGAAATTATTTTTTTCTGTTTACCATATGGTCGCCATGTGCTTCTGTGGTTCTGTAATTAGCGTCCCTTTATGACTAAACACCGCACGTGTGCTAGTAAAACCACCAAATAAGACTTCAAAGGTTTAAAAAATTCTAAATACTCCCTGACAATATTTAAAATTATCAATTTCTCCTGGTTTTATATTTTAGTTTAATTGTCTTATGCCTTCATACTTGGGTCCAAATTTGATTTAATAAGTGACGTCAGAATTTAAGGTTCAGTAACCAATGAGATTAGGGTCTCCTTAAACTCACTAATAACCAATCAAAACATATATGGTACAGCGCACCGTGATAATAAATTTAAGTACAAGACTTAAATTCTATTAATATAAAACCAGAACAAACAAAAAAAGACAAAGAAAGGGAGAATATCCAAATAATTTAGATATAAACGCTTCCATTTATTTGTTTTGATTTTTTGGACTTTGTTTATTTAATATGTCGTTAAACATGAATCACAACTAAATTGTATTGAATATATTATGGCAGCTGATGGTAATATAAAACAAGATATCGAACAGATTGCCAATTTCTTTGTCATAGAAATAAGCAAGTCTATTTAGAATAGTACTGGAATATCTAATCATGCATGACAGCAAAACTTTGTTACTGACATACTATATTAGTTTCAAACAAAAAAACACGTATGTAAGTTAAGTTCACGAGGTTGATATAGTCTATCTTTTTTATAATATACGGTGGTAATATAGTTACGAAGAGGGTAGTATAAAATATCGGTTGGACAAATAGCTTTCGTCAGTGTCGATGTTTTTTTTATTATCAAATGCGATAATTTAATGAGAACATTGACACGCACGAAGGCTATTATATATATATATATATGTGTGTGTTATAAAAGACAAAGGCTGAAATAGCATTCCCATATTTCAAATTCACTTTATTTCTAAGCTTGAAGTTATTTATATAAAATCAACAGTGTCAAAAGGTTGAAAAAGCGATTAGTTTCTTTAATTTAAAGAAAAGAATTTATGCATGCTCTAGCACTCTCAGACAATTTACAGTAATTTCAAATGTAATTCAAATGTTCAATTGTGCATAATAAGTAATATCGATCACTCTAATGAAACACATAGTTCATTTATGATAAAGGATTCACTGTTACAAATAAAATTACTTTTGGGAGCAGAGCGAGCAATTCTTGTGGGAAAACTAATCATGTTGACAAGAATTGGTGACAAATTAAATGGACAACCTACAGTTTCAACACACTGTATGATAAGACATTATGGAAAACTGTTATTTGGATATCATTGACATCTCGATAATTTGGCATCTCGTTACTTTCCAATCAAAGCAGTGTTTCACCAGAGCACAATTAATGTGAATATCGATATACGTGGTTTTGTAATTAATATTTCTATGTTCAGTATTAATTTGTTGTTTTATATGATATTTGTATTATACAACGAAAAATGGCACCAGAGAGCACGTTTAGGATTGTTGACTGATTCATGGAAATTGTAAATGTTTTACACGATGAAGAATTTCTCAATTTTAATTTTATTAAGCGTTTTAGTAAATAAATCTGAAGAAACTACAACGGTCAAAATAGGCGTTTTGTTAATGACAAGCGCACCGGAACCTTTTGATCTTCGCCGTGTTGGACCGGCATTAGATATCGCATTTGAGCGAGCAGAAGCCGAGTACGGAGTTAAATACGAAGTGATAGTACGTAACTACACTGGAAATTGTCCAAAACAAACAGTGATTGGTTATTTATCAGAACTATATTACATAGAAAACGTGAAAGCAGTAATAGGACCGGCATGTTCGGAGACCATAGAAGCGGCCGGTCGTTTGGCCCAGTACTTAGAAATGCCTATGATAAGCGGAGTTGGTGATTTGGTTATTAGGAAACCTAAAGATATGTATACAACTTTAACCAGAATGTCCTATAACTTGGATAAACTGTCCGGTAAGTTTTTTTTTTTAAACTTAAAACATTTCATTGCACAAATATTTGATGACGATACACATGCCCACTTCCTGTTATCTTGTCAAATAACACACATTAAAGACTTGTAATTATTGGCTACCCTTTCCGGTCCTTCCCGTCCAAGTTGACACACCATATCTCTCTTTTTGGTCCAACGGTTCTCTCCGGCAAACAGAATAACCTTTCATTACATTACAATAAAAAGCAAATATTGTAATCCTTAATTTACATAATTTTTATATATTTTTGTAAATACTCCATCATTAAATTTAAAAAACCTAAGGCATTTCACAATGTACACAATGCCTGATAGAAAAATACTGAATAAACATGGAATATTGGATTTCCATGTTTATTCAGTATTTTTCTATCACATTTTTCATATTTGTATATTCGTCGCAGAGCATGCCACAATTTACGTTTTTTTTCAATTCAGTTTAAAATATTCTATAACTGTTCAATATCAAACGTACATTTAAACCGTGTGAGAACATTACTTGTATATTAGCAGACAGAGTTGTTAGATAAACTTTGTTTGTTTCTGAATCCTATATAGTCGTATATATATATTATATTGCTATGAGAAGATATATTTAAATACATATTGTTTAAACAATACTTCTTAGCGCTAGAACTATGACGCTAAGGTTTCATTTTATAGCACCAATGGTTGTTTTACAATACTTTTTTGCGCTATAACTATGGCACTAAAGTTCATCCATGTATTGTTTATTAATAATTTAACCTGGGAATTAAATTAGCCAAAGTCTTATTTACTAATGAAGTGTTAGCGGCATTTGATCGGCGGAGGACATTTTAGAGAAACAAATCGGACGTTTTAGCTTCAATGTATCACTTATTATACAGCACCAAAGTATATAAGCCATTTTACCACCAAAGTACAATAACCCATGTTAGCGCAACTTGTTTAGAAAATAACTATTATAAATTATCAATGTCCATTTAATGACAGTAAATAATCCATGTTCTACTTATTTATAATATAAATTGTGGAATGATGTTTTTTTATATGTCAAAACAGTATACTACCGAAAAGTCTTCTTCATTTAAATACAGCAATACGTGTCAGAATAATTTGCACAATAAAACCAATGATTCCATTAAAAAAATATATTTTTGAACTTAAATATTTCAAATAAATTCCAGGTTGAATTTATATACCAGTGATCGTACCTAATATAATGGGCTCTTGGTGTGCCCCCTCTACATTATTCATAATATAATTGCAGTAAGAACTGTTTTTTTCTATTTAGTAATACGTTTTCTGGATTTCTTTTTTACCTTTAAATATTTTGTCGATTCGATAACAGGAACTGTCCTTTCTTTGATATGTTTTAACACCATTTATTCTCATTTATTATCATTTATTCTCATTTAATCTCATTTTAACCAAACCAACATCAGTTTTTTCAACTCGGTAAGTTTTTCGCTTAAATGGCCTTTCGAAAATGCAGATAAAGGACTTGAGGTGCATCAACAAGGGATATACATAGAGTTCTATATATGATTTTGTATCAAACCATAACATAATGCATTGTACAATCAAAAATTCTAAAGGAATATTAATTGTCTTTTTAATCATAAAGTAGATTGTTTGAATACTGATTTCTTGGTAAAATGTTAACATATGAAAGATGTGATTTAAGTAAAGAAAAACATATGTACTGTTTTTTTTTAAAGTTCTATGCGCATTTCATCATTAGCGATCAAAGCAAAAACCAAAAAACTAATTAAAACTGTATTGTGTTGCTGACATAAGGAACATTTATCAAGTACGCTTGAAATGTGATTGTTTTTGTTTTCTTTGAGAATAAAACATTGCGTGAATTTTGAAAATTAAATTTAGCAAAAAACAATGTTCCATGACGCTTAGTGGCATATTTTCTTCATGAGACAATTCAACACAGAGACAAAACAAAACAAATTTTGTTATTCATTGAATTCCGGAAACGAATTAGATCTCATGAGGGAACGAAACACTGAGTGTTTCTCCATGTTTTCTGCCGGGTTCCGTGTCTACTTATAAATTTTGAAGATGTTTAAACTTTTTTTGTTCGTCTTTTATGGTTCTTTTTAAAAAAAAATCAATTTGGGAAATATTACTCTTGTATCAAAATGCACAAATTTCAAATTGTCTATTTTCAAAAAATTTAAGATTTTTTTTTTATTTTATAATGGGCAGAAAAATTAATGGCATTGTTATTTGTGCCTGTGCGAATTATTTGAGACGTTACAAACAAATATATATGAAAGAAAATCATTAGTTTTAAGATAAAAAATTATAGCAGACAGGAAATTGGTCGGATAAATGTAACGTAGTACACCTGGAAAAAAGAGCAAGAAATAGAGCCTTGCAAGAGATCACATACGGTCTTCGTTGCCTAGTTATTGTCCGGGATGCAGAAATCTTCATGCACTATAGCACTCAAATTACAATTTCAGAAAAAGATTAACGACTGGATAAAGTGCAAACGGGGTTTATTCACGGTTCATATTTTTTCTAAAGTGGATCTTATTCACATACATCAGAGAGATTCAGTTTTATTGACCATGAGATCTCAATAAATAGCTTTAATTATTACGTTGATTGCAATACAATACTGTGATTTCTCATTGAAGTAAAACCGATAATTTCACATGTGAAATACAATCCGGTTATTTCACATGTATACTAAATCAGATTATAGCACTACTCTAACGTTATATACAACAGTGAGTGTGTGTCATCACGACATTGTCGATAACGTTGCAATTTTTGCAGAAATAGATATAATAGTTTCATGCATTTTCTACTTTATTTCCTTAAAAAAAAGTCCGTGATCAATGTAATTAAATGAATAACTATTCCTAGATTTCAAATATCGAAAATTATCCAACTCGTGACCAAAGAAGACTGATACATTGTAAGTAACTCATGGCCTATGCGCATTCATGAATAAATGTGTTTTTCTGTCCCTCGTTGAATAATATCTTCTATATTTGAATTCTTTGATTAGTTTTCTATAAGTCATACAATTTAACCATGCATTCATTAATTTAAATTCTGGAAGGATCATCATCTAAAAAAATTAAAAAAAAAACCACTTTCTTCATTTTGATTAAACATGTACTTACAAAATTATAAAACAAATATCCATTATCCTCAAAGGAGAAAGAAAAATGATGGTCAAAAATGAACAATCAAGTCGGTATATGGTAGTATACTGCACAGCTTAAATGGTTCTACTTTAACCGACCAACGCCATCAATGAATCTTTATTTTCGAAACGTGCTTATGGTTCTTTGAAGAGATTTTTACTTTGACTAGATGGTAATTTTTCATCGTCTTTCGTCGGCATTTGGCTTATATATATATAATCAGCAGGGTTTAAGAACATCCGTTGTTCGACCTGTTAGTCAAATGCGTTTTGTTTAAATATACTTTTTCACTTTTATGGTCTTTTGGAAAATGTTGTTTGTGCTGTATTTAGACCCCTCTACCAAGAAATTTGTTTTGCATGCACACGTATAAAAATTGCGATTTTTATCCAACGCAATCATAGGTTTGAACGTTGTTTTCAATTTAGACTTATTTATATTTTTTCGTTTGGGCTTGTATTATATTTGCCTTCGGGCTTATATGATCCGTTCATCCTATTTCGACTCCTCAAAATTCAAGAGTCTATCCTAAATTGAGGTAAATTATATGGCCTTCCAAATACCGTTTCGATTCCTAACATCACTGAAGAGACATTAATTGTCGAAATCCGGATATGGTGTACAAATTTTTGAATCTCATGTTTGCGGTATACCATCTTTTCCGCAAGTTTATTGTTTTCTGTTTGGTATTAAATTAATAATAAAGATCCATTTTGTTACATCTTGTGATCCGTTTATTTGGCAATCGCCATTGGCAGTCAGCAGGGCTTAAGAACATCCGTTGTTCGACCTGTTAGTCAAATGCGTTTTGTTTAAATATACTTTTTCACTTTTTTGGTCTATTGGAAAATGTTGTTTGTGCTGTATTTAGACCCCTCTTGGTTTGTTTTGCATGCACACGTATAAAAATTGCGGTTTTTATCCAACGCAATCATAGGTTTGAACGTTGTTTTCAATTTAGATTTATTTCTATTTTTTCGTTTGGGCTTGTATTATATTTGCCTTCGGGTTTATATGATCCGTTCATCCTATTTCGACTGTTCAAAGTTCAAGAGTCTATCCTAAGTTGAGGAAAATTATATGGCCTTCCAAATACCGTTTCGATTCCTAACATCACTGAAGAGACATTAATTGTCGAAATCCGGATATGGTGTACACATTTTTGCATCTCATGTTTGCGGTATACCATCTTTTCCGCAAGTTTATTGTTTTCTGTTTGGTATTAAATTAATAATAAAGATCCATTTTGTTACATCTTGTGATCCGTTTATTTGGCAATCGCCAATGGCAGTCAGCAAGGTTTAAGAACATCCGTTGTTCGACCTGTTAGTCAAATTCTTTTTGTTTAAATATACTTTTTCACTTTTTTGGTCTTTTGGAAAATGTTGTTTGTGCTGTATTTAGACCCCTCTACCAAGAAAATTTGTTTTGCATGCACACGTATAAAAATTGCGATTTTTATCCAACGCATAGGTTTGAACGTTGTTTTCAATTTAGACTTATTTATATTTTTTCGTTTGGGCTTGTATTATATTTGCCTTCGGGTTTATATGATCCGTTCATCCTATTTCGACTCCTCAAAATTCAAGAGTCTATCCTAAATTGAGGTAAATTATATGGCCTTCCAAATACCGTTTCGATTCCTAACATCACTGAAGAGACATTAATTGTCGAAATCCGGATATGGTGTACAAATTTTTGAATCTCATGTTTGCGGTATACCATCTTTTCCGCAAGTTTATTGTTTTCTGTTTGGTATTAAATTAATAATAAAGATCCATTTTGTTACATCTTGTGATCCGTTTATTTGGCAATCGCCATTGGCAGTCAGCAGGGTTTAAGAACATCCGTTGTTCGACCTGTTAGTCAAATGCGTTTTGTTTAAATATACTTTTTCACTTTTTTGGTCTATTGGAAAATGTTGTTTGTGCTGTATTTAGACCCCTCTTGGTTTGTTTTGCATGCACACGTATAAAAATTGCGGTTTTTATCCAACGCAATCATAGGTTTGAACGTTGTTTTCAATTTAGATTTATTTCTATTTTTTCGTTTGGGCTTGTATTATATTTGCCTTCGGGTTTATATGATCCGTTCATCCTATTTCGACTGTTCAAAGTTCAAGAGTCTATCCTATATTGAGGTAAATTATATGGCCTTCCAAATACCGTTTCGATTCCTAACATCACTGAAGAGACATTAATTGTCGAAATCCGGATATGGTGTACAAATTTTTGAATCTCATGTTTGCGGTATACCATCTTTTCCGCAAGTTTATTGTTTTCTGTTTGGTATTAAATTAATAATAAAGATCCATTTTGTTACATCTTGTGATCCGTTTATTTGGCAATCGCCAATGACAGTCAGCAAGGTTTAAGAACATCCGTTGTTCGACCTGTTAGTCAAATTCGTTTTGTTTAAATATACTTTTTCACTTTTTTGGTCTTTTGGAAAATGTTGTTTGTGCTGTATTTAGACCCCTCTACCAAGAAAATTTGTTTTGCATGCACACGTATAAAAATTGCGGTTTTTATCCAACGCAATCATATGTTTGAACGTTGTTTTCAATTTAGGCTTGTTCATATATATAATTATTTATATATATATATCTGTACTAGCTGTTCAAATTTTACTTAATTCTGTCATTTTTTTATGTTTTGCTTTAATTAGCATTAATTGAACTTTTTTTTTGTTTCCTTGTGAAATTTTGTGTGTTTTGAGTAATTTGTGATATTGGGTTTTTGTTTTTGTTTTTGTTTTGTTTTTGGAGGGTGTTTTAAAGATCCATTCCATTCAAAGTATTACAATACTGAAACAGAACGATTATATATTGTATTAGTCAACGAGATTGACATTACTCCGCGTGGGTTAGGCACATCGACCATTCATCTTTGGGTGGGTGGGATGCGATTTTTTCTCAGGACAAACAGTTTTCGACTTTCTTAAAAACACAAATAATTTTGTTATTCAAGAACATACTTATTGTCGTATTCACTCCTTAGTTTTCAATGGAAAGAAACTATTTTTTATTTCCTTCCATCAAGAAACAAGATTTTGTTGTCAAGAAATTGGAAATTAAACAAATTGATTTAAAAAAAATCACCATCCACAAAAAATGAATGTTAGGTGCCTTATCAATAACAGGAAGTCCGATGAATACCACTATGCCTCGCCCGGTAGGTACATGTACAATTAGTTTTATAAAAGAGGTTATTGATTTAACAACCATTACTTATCAATACAGTGACGAGATTAACTTACCAATCCAAATAATTATCAGGCATTCGAACTGTATTAACTTACCAATCCAAATAGTTATCAGGCATTCGAACCGTATTGACTTACCAATCCAAATAATTATCAGTCATTCGAACCGTATTAACTTACCAATCCAAATAATTATCAGGCATTCGAACCGTAACTAAATAGTTTTCTAAAGAATTCATTAGAGTACAAAGGACAATAGACAATCAAGTATCAAAGAAAGATATCACACCTGTCTATGTTACTGTATATTGGTACAAGGAGCCTATATACATGATATAACGTACTTTAACATTTTTTCGACATTTTTAACGATTCCTGTGTATTTTAAATGTTATCCAGCGCTACATATTGCTATTGACATCATTAACAAAAATAAGTGTATTTTTATCGGGAAGACAATATTAAGAAATATCTATACAGAAATATTTCATACATTGTTATTACATCCTACTGTAAATTCGAATAAACTAGGTTTTGGCTATACTTTTATGAGAAAGAAACCATTCAATACAAACCTCCAAAACAAGAGAAAAATAGAGATTATCAAAATCCACAATAGAACCAAATTTGAATCTTAAAGAAAAAAAACATTTCCATGTACTGGAGCATCTGAACCGCCTCCCACACCGGTATTTGTTTGGATTCGAGTAGCTCAGTCCCAAGTTTTCTATGTTAGCGTTTTGTAGACTGTTGTTTGTCTTTTGTCTTTTTGCCGCTTTTCGTTTTTGTATGTAATCGCGTTGTCGGTTTTTCAAGACTTCTGATTTTTTATTGTTCCTTTGGGATCTTTTGCCTCTTTTTTCACTCAATATTCTTAATTGTGAAAAGTGTCAAGTCCTGGAAATACGAGATTGGATATTCCAATTAATAGATATAACGTAAATAAAATGGAGAATGGAAATGGGGAATGTGTAAAAGAGACAACAACCCGACCGAAGAGCAGAAAACAGCCCAAGGCCACCAATGGGTCTTCAACGCAGCGAGAAAATCCCGCACCCGGAGGCGAGATTCAGCTGGCCCCTAAACAAAAATGTGTACTAGTTCAGTGAAAATGGACGTCACACTAAACTCCGAAACATATAAAAGAACTAAAATAAAAAAAAAAACATACAAGACTAACAAAGGCTAAAGGCTCATGACTTGGGACAGGCGCAAACATGCGGCGGGGTTAAACATGTTTTGTGAGATCTCAACCCTCCCCCTATACCTCTAGCCAATGAAGAATAAACAAACACACATCAATACGCACAGTAAAACTCAGTTGTAAAGAAGTCCGAGTCCGATGTCAGAATAAGTAACAAAAGAAACTAAGCAAAATGACAATGATACATAAATTAACAAAGGACTACTAGCAGTTACTGACATGCCAGCTCCAGACCTCAATATATGTTGATTTATATTAAAGTGAAATATAAGGGCTAATCTTGAAATTTACAAACAAAAATATACCTTGACAGGGGATTTGAGCCCATATCCTCTGTGATCAAAAACGAAGATTAGAATGGTAGTGTTGAAATAAGAACACTCCAGATTAATATTTTATTATAACTCGGGCTCCACAGGGTTGTTTTCATAGTCCTTGTCAATGCGCTTGATTATACTTCATGTCAAAATGCCAGATTTTGATTGGTTAATACGAGGGAGACAATTTACTCTATTCTATGGTAAATACTCTATTACCCTTCACGGAGACGCTTGATCAAGTGTGCGCTTTATTAAACACGACTCTATTCTATGGCAAATACTCTATTACCCTTCACGGAGACGCTTGATCAAGTGTGCGCTTTATTAAATACGGATGGTTGTTATGTACAAGACGTCATAGTTTATTACTTTGAATTTGAAATTTAATCGACAGTTATAACAGAACATTCAGTATAATAAATTAAATAACACATATCTGAGAGGGTGATAGAGCAGATTGTTACCCCTCGAAAAGACATTGTCAACCTTGGCTTCGCCTCAGTTGACAATGTTTTCTCGGGGTAACAATCTGCTCTATCACCCTCTCAGTTATTTGTAATTTATATAATGTAATATACTGGTCCCAATCCCTTGTAAAGATCCCAAATAACATATAATATTCATGCACTTTTATATTTCTATATTTAGATAATAGACGTATGAGATGAAGTAGATTATCATTTTACATGTCATGACAAACAATCTAAATTAAGTATTATATTTATACCTTAGTTATAGTCTTCAAAGAGAATATACGTGGACTGATATCCTCCTAGAAGTATTACTTACAAAAATCAAATCGAATATTAATGAATGTGTTTATCATATTTGATACATATTTTGTAATTTGATCATATCAGCTTCTTAACTAATACAGAGTGAGAAGCTTGGATTTGTAATTCGACATAACAATTAAAGGACTCGGGTTACTTTTTAATCTACTCCGAGCTTGTTTGTGACAAAAAGTTAATTGTCTTTATATAACGACCCTGGTTACATGCCTGAAACATTATTTTAACCACGTGGATTCCTAGTAAAACATTCATAGAACACGGAATCGTGATCATTCATAAACATAAAACTGAAATGAATATCCCAAAACATGTATGTGTTAATTCATGTGTAAATCTACAATCCTTAAAACAATCGAGCACAATCATCTCACTCGACAGTGGTGTAAATATTATTTTCATCAGGAGATACTTTTCTAAAGATATTTCAATTAATTATTTAAATCTTTAACACACCAAATGGTGAAAAAAAAACTGATTTCGTAAATATTTTACTATTGAAACAAGCATGCAGGAGAGACATTATTACAACAACTAGAAAAAAAGTTAATGTTATTGTCCCACTATTAGTATATTCATCAGTGATCTGTCTAATGCATTTTTATCTATTTATTTACAACAAATTGTTATTTTGTTCTTTTTTATCTTTTTCCTTCTTATCTGTTTATTTACAACACATTCTTATTTTGTTTTTCTTTTATTTATTTTACCTTCAAGTGTCAGTAAAGAAGATTTTGGAGGAATACTCGTGGAAACACATTGTTATTCTCTACGACACCGATTATGTCTTTTTCAATTTGGCGGGAAACAGTTTAGCGAGAGATTTCAAAGCTGACGGGGAACTACCGAGGCCAGTTGATATACCATTTAGGAAAGCAACTTTAAACAATCAACACAAAAGTCTTCTTACCGAAGCAAACCTTCATGCTCGAGGTAAGCAACTTAGTTCAAATTCATGCTTAGTTATGATATGAATCACGTACATGCACTATGCGTCAACTCGGGTTAAAGTACCAAAAGAGACTAACAGTCCAACATTAGTGGTTGTCAGTAGTTTAAACGTTGGGGCCAATTACCACTGAATTTATTTCACTCTAGGAGCATTTTCAAATAATTTTCCTTTATTTATTTTGAAAAGTCAACAGTGTCACAGTTTTAGGTTTGTGTAGACACAAATACAGACAACAAAGCACTACACAGAAAGCTAAAGTTTGAGCAACACGATCAACACTAAAGACAGGGAGTGAACTCTGCTGCTCCCGGGAAGGGTAAACATAAACTGCCCCACTGGTAAAAATGAGAAGACTTAATGAGAATTAAGGTCTGGACATTTAAAAAACCCCAACATTTTAAGTAAAGATCCGTATAACCTCACAAATTAAAACTAATTATTTTTTTACAAATTTATTTACAAATTCCAATAATGTACCAAAATTGTCTGGAAGAGCAAAGTTTTCATAGGGACAATATAAAACATCATATTTATGACATATTATGAATAGATGTCTCATTAGAAATCATACCACATCTCCTTGTTTTTTTTTTTATATAAATGTTGACAAATGTGAATTAGGTTGGATTCTAGCTTGATTGTCGCTGATTTTTACTTGTTTAGAAATATATATTTGTAGTATTGATAGGAAGCACACGATGTAATCATCAGATAATAAATGACAGATTTCAATAATAGGGTTCCTGATAAGATAATATGCCATTGGTGTATAACTTGTACTCTTTATATAATTGCTTAATTATAGAGGTAGGGCTATTTCCCCCTGTATGTGTTTCACTCACAGGATCAAATACTAAAAGTTGTCAAATTCTACTGGAAATTGAACATAAAGGATGAAGTCATTTCAGGTTTAGGAATTTTTGTCAGATGTTCAGACTCCTTGGGTTTTTTCCTACGATACAGGGTAAAATATTTTGCCCCATATACTTACTTTTCATTTCACAGAAGACTTCGATAGCTCTTAAAAGGTAATTACCAAAATTCAAGCAGATTCTAGATTTCTTTTCTTACGATTTGAGACCCAAATAATGCCAATGCTAAATAGCAGGTAAAAGTCCGAGTCAGCCCTTTGCCGTCATTTAAAAAAAAAATCAAATATCCAGAAAAGGAATTTCATAACCTGTCAATATGTTTAGCTTATTTTGTTCCTTAACTAATGCTCTTCTGACTTAAAGTATCAATTTCAAATTCCAGATTTTTTAAAGTTTCACCAGACTACATCCTTAAGGATGTTCGCTACTCTTGTTTCAAAATAACAAGCTTTTGAAAACACTGTAATAAATTGATAGTATATAAATAATGGAACTTAAAAAGAAGAAAAAAATGAAGGGTCTGTGTCTTTGTTTTCGAGATAAAAGGCATTGAAAATTTTTGTGGGAAATGATTCTCTCTAGGTTTTCATACATTTAACATTGACACCTTTTTTCTTCCAAAAACTATGAAAAATAACAAGGATTTTATAAGATTTTCAAATATGGCTTTTTAAACTACATGTAATAAAGTTATGAAAAGAAAAGTAGGAGTTAGTGGGCCAAATTTTTAATGGCACTACATAGATAAAACCAGAGGATTCCGAATATCTGACTAAAATAAAAAAAAAAAGAACAACAAGAGGAGCGAACATCCTTAAAGAGTCTACATCATAAACTTCACAAATTTTCAACGATTTTAATCAATATGTAATTCAGCATTGTCCCAGACATATAATCATTTATCCATCTAGATTCCACATCCGTCAGTAATACAAATTATGAAAACCGGAAGCATTAAGAATAGTAATAGATATACCATAATGTATATGTCTCCAAAGATTTTTAAATGCTTAACGGTAAAATAATTTGTGGTAAAGACTAGACAGGATCTGCAACTGAAATACTACTTTAGGCTAAATATTCAGACTCAGACTTGATAATGTAATTAAATCAATAAGTTCAGTCTAGCGGGCATATGCATCGATTGAAAAATATCTGTTAACATCTTTAACGACAACCTATTTATTTCAAAGTATTTCAAAACATGACCGAAAAAGAAAAAGCCGACGAATGTTATATTCGTGCACCATTATACATTTTGAACATAACTTAATGATTAAAATCACCACAATTAAAGGTTTTCGTTTATAGTGTTGAATTAGTCCAGATGAAATTCTTTATTATTTTATTTTCCCCACCGTTTCATCTTTTTGTCTTTCTCAACTCTAGGTCTCGAGCGTATCTAACGAAAGTTGTTCCAGCTAGCAACACGTATTGACATTACTATCTATATTTCTATAACCTCCGGTTTGTAATATATCAATAGGTAAAAATAATACGATCTGAAAGAATAATGAAAAAGTGAGGTAACTCGTCAACATAGTCTTATTTTCTCACGATATTAAAAAAAACATTCGACCAACACTACAATAGACTATGTTTGGTAAATCAACGCTTACTTCAAATAACAATATCTAGACTATATTGTTTGCACCTGTCCTAAGTTATGAATCTGATGTTCAGTAGTTGTCGTTTGTTGATGTGGTTCATAAGTTTTTCTCGTTTCTCATTTTTTATATAGATTAGACCGTTGGTTTTCCCGTTTGAATGTTTTTACACTAGTAATTTTTGGGGCCCTTTATAGCTTGCAGTTCGGTGTGAGCCAAGGCTCCGTGTTGAAGACCGTACTTTGACCTATAATGGTTTACTTTTATAAATTTTGACTTGGATGGAGAGTTGTCTCATTGGCACTCATACCACATCTTCTTATATCTATATAACATTGAAATAAAATCAGCAAGAATCTGAATCTGATTGATATCTATATAGTCTAAATTTAAATTACAGTATCCAGACAATCCTTTTTTTATCAAGACCCGTTGAAGGATTCTTACGGAACACCGATGTCCCTAGTGATATATATTAATTGATTAAAATATATTCTTTTGAAAAAATAAAAAAAATAAAATATTTCAGATTTCCTCAGAAAACCACTCAAATATCAGAAATTCTGTCTACTTGCATTATACATGATAACGATCGAAATATATATTTTTATATTAAGTGTTACCCTTGTCCGTCTGTATGTTCGTTCGTCCGTCCGTACGTCTCAAAATTGGTTTCTGTTTTGTAACTTTAGTTTGCCTCAACCAAATGTTATGAAACTTATACACAATGCTTATTACCACAAAACACAGATCCATTTTGAATTTGGGTTGCGTCACTTTTACCGTTCCTAAGTTATGGCCCCTTAAAACGTTACATGCAAGAGGGGGCACCATCTGTGTCCGATGGACACATTCTCCATTTATTCATATTTGTAATGATAAGATCGAAATAAGAAAAACTCCGTTAACTAGTAGCATTAACATTATGTAAACCTGTTGAAAATCTTTTGAATATACAATACATGTATATTATCAATAGGCTTTTTAATATTTGATATTTAGACTCTCCAACCTTTTATCAACATATCTGCTCATCTTCACGAAATAAAAAACAAAACATTTCCACAAAAGGTGTTAAACATATTGGATTGTAGAAAATCTGTTGAAAAAAATGGACACATTAAAAGGGAATCTCACTGCATTACAACACTACAAAGCAAAATGACCACGCTTTGTATTTTTTAAAACTTATAACAATGGACAGTCATGTAACCATAATATACCCAGAAACTTTGAATTACTTCAAAAGTATGATAACATTAAAAGATTGTATTTAAAAGAAACCGCCAGTAAGAGAAATGCACAAACATAACAGATATTTTAGTACACCGAAAACACAATTCACAATTTTAGTACACCGAAAACATAGTTCACAATTTTAGTACACCGAAAACATAGTTCACAATTTTAGTACACCGAAAACATAGTTCACAATTTTAGTACACCGAAAACATAGTTCATAATTTTAGTACACCGAAAACATAGTTCACAATTTTAGTACACCGAAAACATAGTTCACAATTTTAGTACACCGAAAACATAATTCACAATTTTAGTACACCGAAAACATAGTTCAAAATTTTAGTACACCAAAAATATAATTCACAATTTTACGATCAACTAAATAAATGATTGTAGAAAGTGTAAAATAAAAGATAGTATCCTATACACATTGTATGCTCTAGATGCCTTCTTATTATTGTGTCGTTGGGCTGCTGTATCACCGGTAAATCACTTAGACCTGTTATCTCCTTTTATTGATAGAAGTTGATCGGAATTTTCATACCCTTTCAGATCACATAGTTCACTGCCAGTTCTTCACGTTTGTCTTTAACATCATTTAACGTTCTCTGTTTTGGCTGGTGTGTTTTTTTTCTCTCATTCGTCTAAGAATGATCATACATTAACGTAAACTTGGTCATGATAATAATACAAATGATCACAATCCTAACTGATTATTTTTATATACTCTGTTCCCAACATTTTCTGGAATTGTGGTTTAAAATTTAACAACATGAGTGTTCCTAAAAAGATACAATATATATATATATATATATTTATATTCAGTTTATTTAACCAGTTTGTTTTCAAATATAGTTTTGAACAGAAAGTAACCGATAAAGATTTTTGTTCTCTCAATTTGATATTGATTAATGATCTTGTTAAATACAAAACAACAATAAATTTGATAAAACACGTTCATAGTCACGATTTTTGCAATTGTAGATCGCTAATTTCCTGTAGGTCATCCGGATATATGTGAAAACAAAGGATACACATCTATATTCAAAGGTCATGCTTGAGTTGTGATTATAAGAAATAATATATAAAACGGAGTACAAAAAAATGGAAAGTAAAACAGACCACACAAACCATGATGATCCATTCCATCATGAAACAAAGACAAACAAAACAAACAACAGATATATGTCGCAAATAAATACCAAAGTTAGAAAGTTAGGTCAGTGACTGTTTTTCCGGGACAACATTAATTTAAAAAATGATGAAAACTATATTCTAAGTCGGAAAAATAAGGGAAAACAAATTTACGCCCAACAATATTACAAAAATCAATGTTCATATATATTGGCATGGGTTTCTGTATAAAAGACAACCTACGGGTCTCATCGATTTTAAAAAAAAAGATGCAAAATGCACAAATAACAGGATGAAAATTTTGTACACCAGACGCGGGTTTCGTCTACAAAATACACATCAGTGTCGCTCCAATCAAAAAAGTTAAAAAGGCCAAACACAGTACGAAGTTGAAGAGCATTGAGGACCCAAAATTCCGAAAGGTTTTGCCAAATACAGCTAAAATGATCTATTCCTGGGGTAGAAAATCCTTAGTATTTCGAAAAATTCTAAGTTTTGTAAGCAGTTAATTTATAATTATGACCATATCAACGATAAGTCATGCCAACACTGAAGTACTGACTACTGGGCTAGTGATTCTCTCGGGGAGCAGATTGAAAGACCTTTTGAAAATGGTGCTCGCAAGAAATTAAAATAGTTCTGATTTTCCCTTGACTATTCTGTTAATCATATTTTCCATATTACGACACCAAACATGACTTTTTCCATAAGCAGTATAAATAAAATAATTATTCCTATCGTTTTATCCCTACACATGTCTGTTCATGTGCCTGTCAGAACCCTCAACGGTGATTGTCCTAAATTTTGTTTGGTTTTAGACCTTTATAGTTTTGTGTGTTGACAGCAGAGATTTGAAATGCTCTATAACGATTTAACACTTGTCTTGACTAGGGACCGATTAAAGGCTTAACATGCATCGACCTTAATCTTTTGCTGAAGACCTCTAAGGTTTTGTGTTGTTGTGTTGCTGTCACATTGACGTACATGTATACCCGACACATCCTTTTGTCAATTTTGTTTATACTGCTTGTAATTGGTTTAGCTTTTTCAGCCTCTACCGCTTTTTACACATTTCTTTCAAACTCTTCTTTTAATCTCTTAGTTATTTTTGCTTGAATGTATTCAAATCAGTTTATTATTTGTTATTGTTATTATTTGTATGTGTCACAAGTATAATGTTCTACTTATATGACAATAAAGAATTATTTAATTATACTTATTTTTTTCCAGTCTTTGTGATTTTCTCCGATTCTGATGTTTTAAGAGATTTTCTGTATGCTGCAGACGAGCTTTCAATGACGGAAGGTGATCACGTTTTCATTACAATGGAATTGTTCCCAAGTGATTGGCTCGGATACTACACACAGTTCCTTCGAGGTATTATTAGCACAGACATGAAGCAAAAAAAAAAAAAAAATTAAAAATTAAAAAATTAAAAAAAAAACCAAACCAACCTGTGTCCGTCAAGCATATTAATATCAACATGTCGCAAATTTAATGCACAATTTAAGACCCTAACAATCACAAAAGAGATACAAGATCAGCAAACTAACAACTAAAGACATATTTTGTGTAAATAGGGAGGATATACCAAGGGTCAACCAAAAACCATAAGTTGCTAAACATGACCAAAAGATAAAAAAAAAAATGATTAACAGCCGAACAGCATTCAACACAACAGCTCGCGTAAAACCAAATTTGAGAATTACGAATCGCACCAAATACCGGATGTAGACTCGTGTGCTCCTCCGCCAGTCAGCAGTTTCTGTTTTACTGTCCCACTTGCAACACCCGTTGTATTACTTCTAATATAAACGACAGACAACGTTAAAAGAAAAGTTAGGCAATACAGACTTCAATATAAACATATAATTTAATTTTGGATGTAACACGTCTTCTGATTGGCTGAGAGAATTTGTTTATCAGCTCATAGACATAATTTTGTCATCTGACCGTGACGTCATCAACGTTTTTTTCATGATTTACTCCTTAAAATTGGAATTTAGAATTAAATTATAAGGAATGATTGTAATATTTTTTCTGTCTATTCGAAATAACATAAAAAATGTGGTGCACACTGTTAAATAACCCGCTACGCGCGTTATTCAGTATGCACCACATTTTTCATGTTATTTCTTCATAGACAGAAAAAATATTACAGTCATTCTTTAAATGTTTTATCAAGTGTTTCGGAAATCCATTTTCCCTTTTTTCACACGACGTACTTCTAGTAATATTGGGAAATGAAAAGAGTCATTTTTTTTGTAAAAGTTCCAACCATCCTTAACTATATTTTTTTTGGAATTCGTGTCCAAAATATATGTCACCGGATTTCGTACAATTAACGTAATTACACACGTTAAGATCAGCTTGCGTAATATTTACAAAAAAAATAGGTGAAAATCGTGCATATCTGACAGTATGACATGCACTATCGTTTGAATTTCTTTAATTTATGACTTTTCTCTTGTCTCTCTCACCGAAAGAAAACACATTTAAGTTTTTTACAAAGGAAAAAATGCTTCATTATTTCAGAAATCACGTCCTGTAACACATCTCCTGAAGCTTAATTAAGAACGACATTCAATGCATATCACTAAAAGTAAGATTTACAGATAAAAACAAATAAAGTATTCAATTTTGTTTAGAACTTAATTAATAGACATGGAAAACCCCAGCGGAAATAACGAAATTTCCACACGTTACAGCTGCGACTTTGTTTTTTACTGAAGAGTAATATTTTAGAACATATCTGATGAGCCTATAAACTACTAGTTTCAACTGTTAATATAAAATCAAGAACACATCACCACAATTCTCTGTCATTAAAAAATCAAATTACTATATCATTTAAAGTATTAAAAAAAAATCATGGTCAGAAATTTTGACATCTAATGTTTCAACAACAAGGAACTCCAATTCTAGTGTAAATATACTACATAGAATTGTAAATCAATCTTTTGAATTAAAATAACTGTTTAAAGAAATATTATTTTTTTATTAGATTTTGAGAAAAAATGAAGTCTGTTGGAAGTCTTGAATAGTAAGAATGATAAACGACTGTTCCCTGATTTCCAGCCGCATGTCTACCCGGCCCAATACACGTTGTGAAAAATGTCAAATCTCTGACTTCCAGTTACCATTTGTTTTCTCAGTTAAAAACCCTTTCCCGGATGAAAATATTTGAAAATGATTTCTTCATCAGCCTTCGATTAACTTGCAGTAAAAGGACATAACTTAGCAATGTGACATTAAAAATGGAGGTGGAAGAAATACTGATCAATGACAAAAAAAAAAGAACGAGCAGACAAATAATTATAGTCCATATAAACGCTACACAGTACACTTAAATTTGAACAACACGAACCACACTTATAACTGAAAGTGAACTCAAGAGTTCTGTAATTATCACAAGTTACGAATTCACTTGAAAAATCCGCGTTGTTACATACATCATGAAAACAAAAGATAACTCATAGATCTTGTTCGTTTCCTTCGTTGTATTTGATAATATTAAACTGATTTAGCTCCAAAACGAACTAAGATTTATGTTTGAAAATATGATTAACGGATGTGTTTAGATCGACCGTGCGAGACCCTCATTGGTAGTTAAGGTCGATAACTCCCCTCCCCCAGTATTATTTTTTTTTTTTAAATAAAGGACACTTTATACAAAACGAATTAATATAAGCTTAGAAATGTCGTAAAGACCCGATCCTTTCATATCGCAAACTTTCTGCAATCCTCAAAAAACATGATAAAAAAGAAGGAAAATAACAGGAAGAAGACACCAAACGAACTTTGTAAAAAGGGAGAACCGTTTGGATTTCATGCGATTCCCTCTACTTATTTCATTTTGGTTGATAATACAACTAGAGTTTTGAATTTAGAAACCCGGTAGATTATTGTTGTCTCGTATATAACCATAAACTATTAGACTAATTACAGGCTGTCAACAACCATCAAAAACTAAATAGACAAAATTAAAAGCAATTAGACAGATATTTGGAGTAACGAAAAAATCCTTTAAATCTTAAAGCTTCGGGAAATACAAACCACGATACAAACAGGAGTGATGCTAAGAGCTCCTGGATCTAAGCAATACACGTATCCTTCTTCGCATGACATCAGTCTTTTACCATATTTTACAAACAACAGTAGTTGACTGATGTTCGAATCTCATACCTAATAGATAAAATACAAATCATGGAAAAATCTAAGTCTGTAATGATTCTAAACCAGTTGTGACCAAGAAAAAACTTCAAAACTCGTAAACCCATTAAAAATACATGTATATACAAATTAAGAGAAGCAAACCTTGGGAAATCCCACGAAAATGAAAAGTGCTACGTTGTAATGGTGGGCGTCTATTGCTTTGCATGCAAAATATGCAAATGAAGGTTATTCACTTGAAGGAATATTTTCCAAAGACAAGGTCAATGTTTGTAGGTCCTGAGCGATGTTTAAAAGAATCATAATAAATAGTCGAGCCACATGTTCTACTAGATGGGATTGTAAATAACTTAAATATGATCAGTTTTCTCTGCGAACTTTGGAACTAAAATTTTGTTTTCATATTCTCCGAAAAATAAATGACAAGATCTAAAAATGTGACATTATGGTTATCCATTAATTTGACCAGTGATTTGAATATCTCACTTTTCTCTTTTTTATATCCCTTTTTTCTCTCTTTTATATCTCCTTTTCTCTTTTTAAGGTGATTATAAAGATGAAGCTGTTACCAAAGCATACGAGTCTCTGTTGCTGCTTACACCCTTACAACCAGACAATATTGAACATAAAATATTCTCTGACGAGGTAAAACAAAGAGCACAGAGAGATTACGGATACACGTTTGGAGTAGACGAGGTATATAACATCATGTTTTTGTATTTATGGATGCTTTTGTGCTAAAATCGATAGAATATACAGGATTCATAAAAATGATGGTAAAATAAAGATGGTCCGCACGCACAGAGCCAGCCATTTTGAAAAGGGAGCCCCCTAAACACCATGAAACGTTCACACATTTAATAAAATAAAGTGGTTCCAAAACCTGGAACACCCCCTTGCATTCGCCAAAGGTCCATGTGCTAAATTTTCAATGGCAAAAAATTGCATATTAAAATTTTTGACCGGAATTTATGTCTCTCGATTTTTCATATGAAAAAGATGAGTATAAGTGATTGAATGAATTTTAAACTCTTTGCTAAAAATGTGAATGTAGAACAGCCAGCCTTTGTTCGCCTGTTATTGAAATTATAACTTCGTAAACGTATGATCATTTTTAAAATGTATTGATGGACCACATATCATAATGAAGCCAGATAATATCAGATTATTACATGACATTTTTCATATCAGATGTATTATCAGCCCAAGGTTCAATATCAGCCCAAGAGCCGAAGGCTGATAATACATCTGATATGAAAAATGACATGTAATGATCTATTTATCATATGCTTCAACAATGGAGAAAAATAACAGTTTAACATATTGATCCTTTTAAATGGTTCTCAAGTAGAAGTATAAAAAATGTGAAAAGACAACATTTGTAAAGTAGCTTGCTAAATTATGCTGGAAACTTTGATAAATGCATTTATTGTATCATTTGTTTTGCATTTTAATATATTTTCCTGTTTCCTGATATTTGTTTTGTACCCTACTTTAATATGTTTTTTATTGAAAACGTACCATTGAGGTGTATTTTCCGGAATTTGCTGAGTAACATCGGAATGCCATGCGATAACGCTACGGAAAGGCATGCGATAATAGCCGGAAGCAGTTGATAAATTTTTCATATCAGCCCGCTATATATAAGCACCATTTCGGAAAATATGGAATTTTCGTAAATTTAATGCTATTATCATTCTGTAAAAAATATAACTTATTTACTCTAAGTATATGATAACAAGACATATTTAATCAGCAAATGAAAACAGTAGATCACCATTAGATAGACGCTCTGAAAATAACCTAGGGCACAAATGCTGTTTAAGTAAGGTCGATTGATATATTGATATCAATCAGTTTGTCTATCATGAAAGCTATTGATATACTCATTAATTCAATTCAGTTTATGCAGATCCGATACAGTTTATAAATTATACAAATAGTTGATATTTACACATATAATAACTTAATTTATGATATCGTTTACCTTTATTAGTTTTTTTTATGATCAGTTTAATCCTATCATAAAAACAAACGACAGAGATTTTTTATGCCTAAATCGACATTATGTGTTTTAACATATGTTGACCGGGAAGGATATAGAGTGGATGTTAAGAAGATAAAAGCTTCTTTTCTAAAACGTGGATGGAAGTTAATAGTATGAAAAGGATGTAAAATGATACTATTTTTTTTAACTTTTAGACCATATTATAATTGAAATAAATTTTGATGTAGACAACACCACGCAGTATATCATTTTTCACAAATATCTACATCATTTATTTCAACGTTTAGTAACTTTCATTGAGTAAACTTATCTTAAATGAAACAATGAGTGGTTTAATTGACAGCTTAATTTATTCCGCCAGCATGTGCTTCTAGAATGAATTTCAACATACAAATAAATCAATCATAGTAACCAGAGTAGAAAAATTCGACAAGCGTAGGAGAACAAAATAAAGTTTTGTCTGTGGTTGCCATTAAGATGACTCTATATTGTTTGATTGCTGTTTAGTTGCTGATTCTCTCTCTCTCTCTCTCTCTCTCTCTCTCTCTCTCTCTCTCTCTCTCTCTCTCATATATTAATATTAAGTCATTATACTTTATGCACAGGTCGTCAACTACTTCATAACCGCATTTTACGATGGTGCCATTTATTTGACCGAAGCAATTAACCGAACTGTTGAAGATGGCGATGACCTTAATAATGGACTGGCTTTGTCCCAGAAAGTGTGGAATAGTACATATATGGGTATGTTTTATCAATAAACTATGGCGACTGACTTTTCTAAATCCACTGACAACAGGTTGAGTTTAATTGGAGACAAGCTTTTCTAAATTCAGAGTTTACTCAGTCTGTGCTAACTATTGGTATATCAAGAAAATGATCTTTCCGTATGTTATAGGAATGCTCATAATATAAAAGGCGACTAGAATAAAGTTTCTTGTATCCAAGATTTAGATTCATTGTATGTGTTTTTTAATGACCATGTTATTTTCTATTTGACATTTTAGCTATAGCTTACAAAAAAAATATATAAATGATAAATTTGTTAAAATGTAATGGTTATCCTCCCGATGCTCATAAAAATGTAGTTGCTTTTGCTTATGTTTCTTTTTTTTTTGTTTTGTTTTTGAGTTTGTTGCTTTGCTTATATGGTACATCAAATTAATATCGCAATCAAATACCTATTTTTGTATTATACATTTTTGCCACAAATAAGCAGTCTATCTTTGGAGGAGCTTTAACCTCTCAATTTCGTCGTTTAGTCACCTAATATAATGCCTTGGTAATTAAATATGACTTATAAATTCCGGGTAGATCAGTTTTACAGACTCATGCATGTTTTACAGCCCAATACATGTCCTGCTATATTAAATTGAACAAATATATTTTGCTAGTGCTGTATAGCTACATTAAAGAATAAAGTATATACGCTTCATCATGGTGAAATAATTTTTATCCCTGAATCCTAAGTACACAATGTATTCTTTTTAATGTGAAAGGAATGAGATGTTAGTTCTTTTCAATTATTCAACGAGTTTAAATGAAATGCAGTTATATATATATATATATATATATATATATATAATATAACAGTATAATAAAATTGTTTGTTTCTAAAAAGAACGTATTTTATACAGGACTTATGCCTTTACAATGGTTATTTACCCTTTTAACAGGACACCATATATCCATATTTTAATCTACCTTTACTAATTAATTTTCAGAGTGTTCAACTTATATCGATCAAAATTTTCATGTCAAGGATATCGTTATTCACGATTATATTCATTAAAATGAGAAAAAGACAAAGATGTCGATGTCAAACTGTGAAAAAACGTATGATTACCCTGCGCACAATACCACCGTGTAGAACGCCACATGCGGGTTGTTGGCTATGTTTGACACTGGGTGGCGGTTTTGAAGCGGTGAAAAAGCGATCAAGGAAAGTAAAAGTATCAAAATTTCTTTTTTTGAGAATTGTTAGCACCAAATAAGGTATTGCACAGAATCATAATCTATTTTCATCAAGCAGAAGCAAACGTTTCCAGTGCTCCGTTTTTTCAAGCACCTCTCCCCTCTGTGTTGCAGATTTTGATACTTCATATGCAAGTTTCAGGATACAAAAATACTTTTGGCAATTTTTTTCCGTATGATTTATATAGAATTGAATTCCTATCATAGATTTTAACCAAATGCCAGCTTCTTAGTCAAATTTTATTGGTTTTAAAGTTAATATTTCATCAAAATGCAAAGTGTCGCCCGGGGTGTCAGATTTTGCGTCTCAAGGGGGCGAGTTTTTTTTTTTATTAAAACCAGGATAGATTTGCCTAGGAAAACAAATCATGTTCATAGTTTGAAACAAAATACTTTGAGGCTTTTTCTCTATTTCTAAGATTAAAAATGCGCATTACTTAAAAAACTAAAATATGGGCCAAATGAAATAATACCTTAAGTTTGTAATGAATCATAACACAGTAGGTGTGTTTGAATTACAAACAATCAAATAAAGACCAAATCATAGGCAAATCTATCCTTGTTTTGATAAATACCTCATCCCCTTGAGACGCAAAATCTGACACACGAGCGACACATTACATTTCGATGAAAAATTAACTTTAAAACCATTAAATTTTGACTAAAAAGTTGGCATTTGGTTAAAATATATAGTATAGGTATTTATTTCTATATAAATCATACGGAAAAAAATCACCAAAAGTTTTTTTTTTTTTAATCCTGAAACTTGCATATGAAATATCAAAATCTGCAACACGGAAATCTGGGGAGAAGTGTTTGAGAAAATGGAGTATTCGAAACGTTTGCTTATGCCTGATAGAAATATATTATGATTCGATTCTTTCCGTGCAGTACATTATTTGTGCTAACAATTCTGAAAAGTAAAAAAAAAATTATACTTTTACTAACCATGATCGCTTTTTCTCCGCTCCAAATCGCTACCCAGTGTCAAACATAGCTAACATCCCGCATGGGGCGTTCTACACGGCGAATACGCTTTTCTGAAACATATCCTTCATAAAATGAATCATGCAAATCACTTCTATATATGCAAATATGTCGAAGTTTTATTATTGCCAATGAGAACACTATCCACCATAACCCAACTGACGTGGATATTAGCAACTATAGATCACCGTACGTCCTTCCTTTAACAATGTCAAAAACCCATACAGTATAGTCAGCAATTAAAGGCACAAATGAACAAAATGTAAAATAATTTAAACGAGAAAACCAACGGCCTGATGTATGTACAAAAAGTGAACGAAAAACAAATATGATAGACAAGAATCAACGACAACCACTGAATAACAGGAGGCTCCTAAATTGAATCTTGCATGAGTTCATTCGCAAAAAGTATATGCATGCTACAGCAATCAAATCAAAACATATATTACAGATATGACACAATGATAAACAGCAGAGAACAACACCCATGATACAATATTAATTACAAAAATGATATGGGCATGTTCATATTCTGATAGGATAAACATGTATATGAGTACTCAACCATCCCTTGCCCTAGAACAGTGGTGTATAAATACAACATAAGAACAAAACATGTTTATGAAATATCCTTCATAAATCATAAAAATCACTTCTAACGTGTACTTATTTGTGCTCCGGTCGTCACAAAGGAAGAAAAGTTTCCTTAACATTTAACATTTTGATAGAAACTTTAACTTCTATAACACCTTTATAGATATTAATCACAGGACACATATTTCAATCGCTTACCAATTTTTCTGTAACTGATTCATTCTAGTAAAATTGTATTTACAGCTATGAAAAAATATCTTAAGCCTATATTTACAGAAGTGACTTTAGAAAAGAATTATTATTATTATTATTTTTCATTATGACGTGTTGCATGGCTTTTTATATAATCTGGAGGACGCCCTCCTACGACACAAACAGGAAGGCGTTCAAGAAAAAATCAAAAGTAGCCTTCCAAGAATTAATCTTTATTTGAACTACCAGATTTCCATCTAGACAATTTTGGTATCTAGTCTTTATAATACTTCATAAAATTATAACAATTGTAAAATTATAGAAGTAGCTACTAGCAAAATATGAACTTGTACATAATTTGTCTATGTTGTAATGTTTCTTACAGGCATAACCGGAATGGTAGCCATTGACGACCAAGGAGACAGATTGACTGACTTTGATATCTACGACATGACAGATTCAACAACAAAAACATTCAAGGTACATCTACACAACATAAAAAGTGTAAAATATTTCAAATCAGCGATCAATAATATATTTCTCAATATCACAAGTATCTGTTAGATACTATAGCATTTTATGGCGGTTTTGAGCGTTTAAAATAGATTTAGGAAATGGACGTGGGAAGATGACAGTTTGTTGTGGTTTAACGTAAAGTCACTTTATAGCTTGTGATCATTCATTAATGAGAAAATAATAATTAAAAAAAGTAGTAGTGCATTGACCTTTGGGAACATTAATAACTTACGTTTACCAGCTTTATAATAGCAAGAAATAAAACGTCAGCCGGTAGATAATCAACGAAGTTATTATTATAGATACATGCTCCATAAAAGTCTATTTGAATTCTATGAATCGTCTGAAATGGCTTATTATCAGACTTTTCAATAACTCTTTTTTGCCATTTATTTTTGTGTATTATACATTACATGAGCTCTGACACTTTAAAAAATTATTTCTATTTTGTTTTGCTAAAGTAACTAAATATGTTTTTTCTATAAAATCTAGAGTTAAATATTCATCATCAATGTAAATCACCGGTAATGGAGTGAATGAAATGGCCGTGGCAACACCTGGTCAGGTCTTGAATTGCAAAGTTCTATAGATTATAATTCATATAGCAACAGAGGTCATCTGGCTCAAGTGAATAACAACAAGACAGTCGATAAAATATATACATATATTTCCAGATGTTCAGACAGTTTGTCCCGTTTTATAATGAAAAAGAATAAACTCATCATAGATACTAGGCTTAAAATGTTGTACGCCAGACGCGCGTTTCGCCTAGATTGACTCATCAGTGAGACTCGAATCAAAACAAATAAAAAGGCCAAATAAAGTACGAAGTTGAAGAGCAATGAGGACCTAACATATTAAAAGGTTTTGCTAAATACAGCTCAGGTAATCTATTCATAATACATCATTACATTGTAGTTTATTTTTGTGTATGCATACAGTCTTCACAACACTACATACAATGTAGAAAACCAAAGACTGATAAAAATGTACTCCACCAAAAACAAGGAGTAAAAGAAAGGTTCCATATGAATATCTACAATACTGTTAACTTTGTCATTTTTTATGGAAATCGCAAAAATATTAATATTTGAAATGGCCGAAAAGTGGTTCAATACTGAGAACGTCAAATCTGAAATACCAAGAATTATTTTTTTAAATGAAATACAGTACATAAATTTTGTTAAAAGTTCAATCAAATTATGATTAGACTTCGAGTTTTGGGGTAAAATATTGACAAAAAACGATTTAAAAGTGGTGCTTGTAAAATGTTGATGTTTCAATGTCATTACTTCATATAAATAATTGAGTTCCAAACATCTTAGATATAATAACTTTTTGATTATCATATTTTTAGTTCCCTTGGATGCTTCAGAAGAAGAAAATGGATTTCTAACAAATCATTTAACTTGTTCTTACTGTATAAATCCTTTGTTCATAGGAACTAAACTTAAATTTGACAAAGGATTTATAAAGTAAGATACTTTATAAATCCTTGATTTGACTAAGTAATGAAAAAATAAACGTGTCAAAATAATTTTTCTTGATAGTTAGTTGGAAGGTTTCGAGGAGCATCTTCAAATTACGAACCAATTCCTGGTGTGTCGATACAATGGCGAAATGGTCTACCTCTTGATACCCCTGTGTGTGGGTTCAGAGGAGAATGGTGTCTGGTCGGTACGAGTGGTGTTGTTTTTATTGTTGTGAAATATTATGTTCGATTATGTTTTAACTTGATGTTTTATTTTCAATATTGCTTAAACCTTATATCCTATGGTATTACAACCGACACCAACGACATGTTTGCCAGTTTTTTTTTGCAACTTGCCAGTTTGATTCAAATTTTATCAAGAACCATTTAAACGATTAATAGGTTTTCTAATTTAATCTGCTGAAAGGGTTATCTTTTTTTAATTCTTTTTAATCTAAGATTTACCCATGTTCAACCTTAGCAGTTTGACTTTAATGACAGACATATCTTATAGCTGCATTCGGTAAATGAAATGTGGCCACATGCAAGAAAATTTCTTATCACATTAAAGGTCTAGTTGTAATAGCAGCAAGGCGTTGCAATTCTAAAAAAAATGTGTTGCGGTATTGGTAATATCGTATAAAACTGTAGCTAAATTAACATACAGTACAACAGTAAAAAATTAGTTTATCATTTTTGAAAATATCAAATTATACCATTTATGTTCGTTTTATTAAAAAAAACTGACTTGAATGTTTACTTATATTTTCTTTACCATCTCCCCTTTATGCTTTTGTGACTTATCTGATATTACTATTTTAACTGCAATGTTTGTTTCTCTGAGGTACATATAAATTGATTTACATTTCAGTGTCTAATAACAGTTTGACTCTAACAGTTGTATGTGTATTGATTGGTTTGCTAGTGATTGGATCTGTGGCCTTTTTCTTTATATACAGGTATAATGAATAAAGGCAACAGTAGTATACCGCTGTTCGAAATTCATAAATCGATTGAGAAAAAAACAAATTCGGGTTACAAACTAAAGCTGAGGGAAACACATCAAATATAAGAGAACTACGACACAACAGAAACACAACACTAAAATGTAACACACACAGAAACGAACTATAATATAACAGTGGCCATTTTCCTGACTTGGTACAGGACATTTTAAGAAAAAAATGGTGGGTTGAACCTGGTTTTGTGGCTAGCCAAACCTCCCGCTTTTATGGCAATGTTAAATATAACATTAAAATGACAACATTACATGACAGGACTACAATACAAATAAATTGGAGAACATATAGGACAGAGAAACATACGAGTAATAGCTAACAAAAGGTACCAGGTTTTAAATTTAAGACGCGCGTTTCGTCCACACAAGACTAACCAGTGACGCTCAGAAGAAAAAGGTTCGAAAGCCAAAACAAGTACAAAGTTGAAGAGCATTGAGGACAAAAAGTTCTAAAAATGTTGAGCCAAATACAGCTAAGGTTATATGTCTGGGATAAGAAAATCCTTAGTATTTAGAATAATTCATACTTTTGCAAACAATAAATTTATGCAAATGACTATATTATAGATATACATGATAACACCGAAGTGATGACTAGCTACAGAATAAAAACGAATACATAAAACAACATAAACCAGCACATAAAAATTCACAGCCGAGTTAGCCAAAGAGATTAACGCAAAAAAAAAAAGGTGACGTCACATTTGAATTTCTGAAATTTCCCCAAAATAGGATAGAATTAGGATAGAATTCAAGATTTGGTTTTAAATACTCATATAACAATTTGATGCATTGTTCTCATGCAATAGACATTATTGGCCTCTCATTTGACCCGCTTACCATCGGATGTTGACATCTGATCGCAGATAATTAGCAACCTGTTAATAAATTAATATCTAATTCAAGATGCATGGAATATTATAAGTATTACAAAGTTAATCATTTACTGTCTGTAAAAATGAGATATTTTCGTTGTTTGTTTCATAGTATATCAATTCTGTTTACGGGTGATAACCACCAAGGATTTTTACATGCAGGACGAAAATTTTACAACTACATACTTTGTTTGTTTAATACTTGATATACATTAATTTGTGATTTAAATTTGGTATTTTATTCAAGAAAAATTAAATTGGACAATGAACTCGGTCAGAAGACATGGTTAGTACCTTGGTCTGAGGTTAGAATTTCCAAACAGAACAGACAACAGGGCTCACTGATATCCATGTCCCGGATGTCATTAGCATTAGTAGGAGTTGACGAGTCTAGTCAGGTAAACCTGCCGGTATAAACATGTAGGTTGTTACTACCAAATACATGAGTTAGAGTTTTCAGTTAAGATTGTTTCTATCAGATACATTAATAAGTCTCGATAGCACAGGTTAACATGTATGTCATATATTATAAAAAGTTTTAAAAAGGTGCAAAAAAACCCTAAAGGATGTACTTAGGTGAAATTAGAAACAAATAGAATTTAAAATTGATACTATAAGACAGAAGAGAATTAGTTTGAGGAACAAAATAAGCTAAATATTTTGATAGGTTATGGAGCTCCTATTCGAGATATTTAATTTTGAAAAAATGGCGGGAAAAGGCTGACTCGGACTTTCACCTTATATTTGCATTGGTATTATTTGGGTCTCAAATCGAAAGAAAAGAAATCTAGAATCTGCTTGAATTTTGGTAAATGACCTTTTATGAGCTATTGAAGTCTTATATGAAAAGAAAAATGGGTGTTTTGGGGCAAAATATTTTACCCTGTATCGTAGGAAAAAACCCAAGGAGTCCGAACATTTGACAAACATTCCTAAACCTGTACATCCTTAAAAGGATAAGAGGAACTTCTTAACATGTTGTACAACAGACCACACCAACGACAAAAAAATACTTCTCCGAGAAAATAGACATACAAACAGAGGTAGATAACAATGGTCAGATAGCCTGACTACATCTAGGTGATTGATGACTTAATATATTCGCCTTTGATAACGTTCAAGGTTTTAAAACTTTCAGTAATTCTTGTCTTTTCTTACTCGATGAACACGTTATGATCTTCGGCATTATTTTAAAAAACAAAAAACGATCCCGAAGAAAATGGCACAAACTGATTGAAAAACTATAAATAGAAATAAGAATTATCTGCTGTAACGATATTAATTTTGTATTAATTGTATTCTGGAATAGCAATTTGAAGAACTCACCTCAATGAAAATCTAGAAAAAAATCACTTGTTGTGTAACACAATAATTAGTCAAATGGTATGATAATCGTCTATTGGACCACTTCAATAGTAGCCTTCAACGACAGTTTTTCTATACCTTGGAGTACTATATCTTTAGAATAGAGACATCAGATAATTTGTTTCAATAGATGTCTAAATATTATTAGATTTCAGTGAACAAAGGTCAACTGTTTACCCAGGTTGGTGTGTGCAAAGGCAATACAGTTGCTATAAGACGTTTTAAACTGAAAACCATAGAACTAACCAGACATATTCTACTTGAATTTCAGCAGGTAATATGTTTTTTTCTCGTTATTCAACCTCATTGACGTTTGTGTTTTTAAACTGAAAAATGAAGTTTGTATACGTACTTACCGTTCAGAAAAAAATGTCCAACATTCAATGGGAAACGAGTTGTTAAATCACCTGTGAAACTATCGTGAATAAAACTTGGTTTAACAGGCAATTGTCATTGCTACTGTGAAATACAGTTATGCAAAGATTGGACACTGCTCTTTGTTATAACGTTATCGGCCTTCTACAGGCTGCACAATGTCAAACTGAAGTCTCCTGACAATTCAACGGTCACCAGAGCACAGTTTCAGGCCTTGACAGATATACAAACAAACTAAATCAGCTCAAGTACATTTAAATAGTAAGCCAATCATCACTTCTCCAACCCAAGACCGGTATATCCGTATGTTTCATCTACGTAATCGAACAGTCACTGCTACAACCACCGCTGTTGGTATCCCAGGTTTACGAAAAGCGCTTCGGACGCATATAATTTTTAACGTGTTGTTTTCATTTTTTACGGAATATTCGCACCCAGATAGTCCGTAACAAGTTTTTGCAAACGCGGACTTCAGCCAAGGATACCTCATGTTAGATCAAGTTCGACCCAGGTACACACACATACACTTATTCGTTGGTGTCATACATTGAGGTTATGGACTTTGTGGAACTGACACCGACGTTGTTTCATAGATGAGTCACGTTTTCTTCTCATAAGATGTGATGAACGATCCTTTGTATGCTTAAATTGTCTAGAATATACTACTTTATCGACAATTTGTACATTTTCCCTTTGATCTTACTGCCTTATATTTTTAAGATCACGGACAGGACTTGATACTCGAAAATATTTAACAATGACGTCATGTATCAGTGCAACAACGTCACGTGGTGAAGTCCATCCGCGTCATTTTATCAAGTTGCACGAGCCTTCATTCAAACAACCGAAAAACTATCCCTACACTTTAAACGAGTGAACGTAGTTTAACTATTGTTTCATTTTTCTTTAATTCATATTCTCAACAACAAAAAAACATACAGTTAAAAGAAATTGCCCCTAAAAAGAATGATGTCATTTTATTTTTTGATGCTGACATCATCAGCTCGAATATCAGCTCGCCCTATCGGGCTCGCTAGATATTCTTGCTGATAAAGTCAGTATTAAAAACAAAAATGCCATTATTCTATACATATATTCAAGTTTCTACTTTTATTTCTGGAGTGCATATCAGTTTTTTTCTTATCTAGAAAACATTTAAAAAGTTCATTGACAAAGACAAAGTTCTAAAGTTATCACAATTAAGTGGATGAGTGTACGAAACTCATAATCTAAAATGTTTTTGAAAAAGTTTTTGAACTTCATAGATTTTTCAAAATTGTTAAAACATACAGGCAACACATTTTCCATATACTACGTGTGAGATGTGTGCATTGGAATTGATGCACATGAGTTAATATTAAGGCTAATAACTCACCAAAGAAACCAGGCGTATGATTTGTTATGACAGATGCAATAAGAGGTTAAAACATTACTTTTTTTTTTATTTTTAGCTTCAACATTTACATCACCAGAACTTGTGTGCATTTATTGGTGCTACTATAGAACCTGGAAATAATACTCTTCTAATGGAGTACTGTCCAAGAGGAAGTTTACAGGTATGGCATCCTCAGAAATTCGAATTCACTCTGACATGATACATACATATTTTCTAGCATGGAAAACAAGTTCTCTATTTTCATTCTATGTTGAAAAATATTTAAATGCTAATTACCTATATAACGTGCTTTTCGGATATTAACTGATTATTGTTTGCCTAACGTTCATGAAAAAAACCAGATTAAACAAAATATTAATGGGATTGTGCAAAGTGATCGGACTAGAATGAAAGGTAACCAATTTGGACATGTTTGAATGACATTCAAAATTCTGGGCATGTTTGGTAGTGCAAAAATTTTGCCTTGCATATGGATTCACACGGTTACAAGACGCTTCAATTGCTTCATAATCCCTTTCCAACCGACCAATAAAAAAAAATATTCCAATTGTATTTTGAATTCCCAGTTGATTGTTCATCTTACCAAACTACGTACTGTACCTTTTTTCTAAAGATTAAATTACACAGGTATATATATTTTCTTAGTTTCTCGCTTACAATTGCGAGACATGTATTATACGTATGAAGAACATAAGTTACGCAAAAAATCAAATCATGAAACCCCCCCTTTCCAAAAAAAACCCAAAACAAAAAAAACAAAACAAAAGAAAACAAAACAACAAACAAACAAACAAAACAACAAACAAACAAACAAACAAACAAACAAACAAACAAACAACACACAAAAAACAACAACAGACAAAACCCCCACAAAAAGACAAATACACAAAAATCTTAGTTTTGAAGAAAAGAAATATATTATATTAAATTATTTGTATGATGATTACTTAAAACAGTTCTCCTTCATTGAATGATATTTAATTGAACTTTAGGACATTCTTGAAAACGATGATATAGAGTTAGATTGGACGTTCAGATATTCTTTGATACGAGACATCATTGGGGTATGTAATAATTAACTACAATTAATAAAGTAAATTTGGTTGTAAAATTAAAAAAAAATATATGAATAAAAACTATTTCTTTCCTAAAATATATCAAAATTTTTGGGTGTTTTAGGAATATGACAGTCCATTCGTTCCGTTGGTTGGTATAGTCTAACGTATGGTTTGTTTTATGTTCTCCCCCCTGTTGGAATTTATTTTTGAGTTTGGTATTTTTGTGAATACTTTTATGCCTCCAAGTATGAATTTATTTTTCTATAATTTAATCCTTTTATTTCAATTACTAGTGTGGCTTACTGATGAACCAAGTTAACTTCACCTGACGTCTTTTACAGCTAAATGGTTCTGAATCATTATCAGAGAGCTTCTCTTATTTACGTCATTTAGAACTGTTCTACATTGGAAAAGATTTTAAAAGTTCTTCTCTAATTCTAATTTTGACAATTCTATCTTAAAAAGGTTTTGGACAGTTGTACGATAGCAAATTTTGGACAGTCTACCCTAGGACAAATTTTGAAACTTATTTTCTAGAACATCTTACCATAGAACAGTTCTATGGTAGATCTGTCTGGGTAGAACTGTTTTAGAACAGTTAAAAAGATCTAGACTTCTATGACAGATTGTTCTGAATATTATGAAACATGTGAAAAGACGTTAGAACTGATTCCATCTGCATGTTGAATGCGAAATTTATTTCTAGACGTCAATTTCACCTCACAAAGAGGCTTAACATTTCAATATTATGAAGATTGGTGATAAAAATCAATGATATCAATAATATGGTAGTGTAACAAAATTTAGTATGAGCAAGTCCGTAACCTACCGATACATTTCTCAGATATTGTGAATAGTCATAGGCTCAACAATTTTATTTTTCCTATTATCGTCCTCATAGAAAACCCCATCAAAGATACCAGGCTTTTTTGTCTGTTATGTATGTCTCTTAAAATATTAAATTGTTTATCCAGTCTATATATTTAGAAGAGTAAAATTTCGTGTGTTCGATATAACCCATTTAGATAAGTATGTTGTCTTTTTTTAGTCAGACGCCGAACAGAATTATATTGTGGAAATACTTGCTACTAAAACAATTTGGATATAACCGACAATTGTCTTGATACGAATTGTTTATTATTGAACAGATATATCATGTTAAGGAGGGGTATTTTCGAAAAATACTAGTCGAGAGAATGTTAAATTTCGCGAGCCGAAAGGCGAGGGAAATTCATTCTCAAGACTGGTATTTTTCGCAAATACCCCTCAAGAACATGCTATATCTGTTTAATTACACCGAATGTTAACGTACAAAACGCATTGATGATCGTGACATAAAACGCATTGATGATCGTGACATTACAAGCGTCCAGTCGGACAGAGTATTTTTTGGCAAATACCACGGCAGAGAGGGTAAGAAAGGCATATCCTTTTTGCATATACCCCGGCGCTGTTAAAAATGAACGATATTCATTTGATCAAAGTAAATTGGTGAAAAATACACTGGCTATCAACCAATCAAAACCCAGGATTCTTACATAAGGTGTAATTATATCAAATATACACTGTTTCTGTAAACAAATAAATGCATGAAATAAGAAATATTGATATAGAAAATCACATTAAATTATAGATAAAGAATTCGACTTACACTGTAATTTTATGATTTGATACATTTATATTCAGCTTGAAATTTGTAGTGCAATGTTAACATTGTTCATTACTTTATTTACAACCTACAGGGTATGACATACTTACATGACAGTCCAGCGAAATTCCATGGTAGATTGAGCAGTACAAATTGTGTTATCGACAGTCGATTTATGTTAAAACTGACAGACTACGGACCATTCTCTATTTTCAATTCAACAAAACAAAACCAGATGGAGAACAATCAAATGAATAAGAACAGTAAGTATGCGAAACAACACGAAAGATACAACGAAAACAATTTTAATAATTAAAACGCAAACATTAATTTGTATGTATTATATATGTTATTTATAAACTGTAGCATCTATTACATTACTGAAAAGTTTTCGACATGGCACAATCTTATAAAATCGTAACTAAATATTCAATAATAATTTGTTCTAAAACTATCGAGATTCACATGTACAAATTTCTTGTTAGAGGGGTCTAAATACAGCACAAACAACATTTTCCAAAAAACCAAAAAAGTGAAAAAGTATAGTTAAATTATGACATATCTTTATACTTATAAAGTTGAAATTGTTGTCACTTTAGAAACAAAAGTTGTTTATTTTAGTTGACTGTTAAATTAAATATAATTCATCATTCATATTCATTTAGCACAAAATTGAAGACCTATATATGAAAAACTTGAACTTAAAATCAATGATACTTCAATTACAATTCATTTTAGAACTGTTATGGACAGCACCTGAAATTCTTCGAAACGGAAAGGGAAAATCTCGATTAGATAACGAAGTTTACGTAAAAGGTGATAACTACAGTTTCGGCATTATTTGTCACGAGATCGTTATGCGATGTGCTCCATTTGAAGGCTGCGATCTTGAAGCAGACGGTAAGAATCATAAATAAAGAAAACGAAACAAGCATCCTATAATATAACAGGAGTCTTTTGAGCTACTCCTAACACATGACAAATTGCAGTTGGCTCTTAGCTATAGGCCCTTTTTGATTATTATGTTCTCAAACGTTTTGAATATTTTTGGCTCTCCAACTTTTAGTCTTTTTTAAGTTCTTATTGGCTTTGAAATAGCTTTCAGTAACTGAAAGTACTTTCAGATTGGTACTTTGTGTCTTAAGCGTATTTGTTAATTTTTTGGCTTTGTATCGATCTGATGAGCTAAGCCCTTTTCTTCTGATTTTTATAGTTTGTTCTTATGTTGTGTTGTTACATCACTGATCGAGGGTATGTGGAGGGTTGGGCACCCGCAAACATATTTATCTCCACCACATCCTGTATGTGCCAGCCTATAGTTAAGTATATGCGTTTTTTGCTGTATATGATATATTTGTTTTCCGTTTGTTGTTTTGTGTATGGATTTTGACGGCTGGTTAACTTTTGGGTTTGTTTTTGAAGTATATATTTAACAATTGTTAAATGAGTTGATGTATTAATTGTTTTCTCCCAAAATCAATTTACACTTTTATACTTCAATATTCATTAACATTTTCTTTCATCGCAGCTTTTCCTTCGGAATTGAGCTGTGCGTTTGCAGAAGTTTATCGTATATCGGGTTTTTTTTCCGCGAATTGAAGACAAACTAGGCAGGTCAAATTTTCACTGTGTATAACATTCGCTGATTGGGAAATCACTGTATTGTATTGTTAAAGATGTAAACAACATAAACTTGATTGATTGACAGATACTCGATTACAAATATATACGAGTACTACAAACTAATATACACATAATACGGAAAACTTTCAAGGAAAGTAAAAATGTACTTTGCGGCATACTAAAAATTGATGGTTTTTGTCATTTTTGTGATGGTATATCAGAGCTTGTTTGTGCAAATGTCCGTGAAAATGTGATTTATTTATATTTATTTACATTATATTCAAAATGTTCGGGTTATGACTCCAATGAAAAGCTCGTTGCTAATGGAAGTATTTTGAACATGTCACTGATTGCTATGATGTCAAACGGCATTGGCATGTATGATTAGCCAATTTATTTTTTATGAAAACAGAGATCTCAATCAAATATGCGCATTCTTGTGATCTGTTTGTCAACACAAAAGACTGATTTCATATATAATGTTATTCAACCTGTGGAAAGAGTTTGCATATTAATTTCGTGTATATTTGAAGTTAACAGTATAATGTACGAAACGTTAAAAAAGTGAAAAATCTTGGAATATATGCGGGCAAATCTTGACGAGGTAAAATTTTCGCGAAAATTAAGCACACGTAAAAAAAAACCCGACATACGATATATAAGACATATTCAACTTTTTTTTTTTAAATTTGAACTATCGTATGACTTTACCTAGCGTTTATCCAAGACGTCCGTATATAGCACTTACAAACAGTTTAAAACTGACAATTATCTGAAAGAGCGGAATTTTTTCTTAATATCCGAAACTTCTAATAGAAAGACCGTTTCAAAACAAATAGGAAAATCCCAAATGAGGACTTCCTTAGATTATAAAGCTTGTAGAAAAAAAGAAGTATAGATGACAATGACTAAAAAAGTTTAAGTTATAATTACGAAAACCCAAGTATTTAATAAAATGTGTCTATTACCCGCAAACCTCAAAATTGAAAATTCGTTATTTAATCAAACACCGTAACTTTACAACTACTATAGTTTAAATCGACCTGAATGCTTGGTAGTCGCATATTAAAGTTTCAAAAGCATTGAATCATTTGTACCTCAATTATCAATAAAAGCAGAAAGTGTGACGAAGACTGACCAAGGGGCAAATATACAATTGCATACTACGTGTGTATACCTATAATTGGTTTTATTCACTTCATTTGAACTCTGGTGGATAGTAGTTGTCTCAATAGTAATCATACCTCATCTCCTTATTTATATATTCAATAAACTAAAGACAAAATGAGGATATTGAGAAAATATTAGGAAACGAAAAAATAGACTATTTCACTAAACATCTTCCTTTAAAAAGAGAGAATTGAACGCTTCTTTTTGTAATTTTATTGGGATGTAAAAGCGTTGACCGAAGCATATTTGTATGAAGCGCGGAACCATTCAATTCTTATAATTGCAGTTGTATGATACAACCCTGAAATTACGAGTTATATCATATTTTTCGTTTTCATTGTATTGATATTGTCACGGGAAAACGTACTCTCAGGAATGTTATATTTAATTGGAAAATAAAATCTAATTTTGGAATGCCTATCAAAAGTTGTCAGCCGTTCAAAATTACGAATCCTTATAAAACATACATGTAATGTAATTATATTCCTAACAAATAAGAAAACGACACGAATTACAGCAGATACAAAAATATTTCAAGCAAAAATGTGAATAACCAATCACCATTATAAATCACTTGGCTTCCTGGAAATGTGTTTCATGATTTATTTTTTCATGTATATTAATTTTGTGCTTTTAAGGAAAGAACACTTCAAAGGTGTAAGTTATCATCACGATTTGCAAAAGGTATATGATATCCATGGTTTGGTCCTTTGATGATGACTATTTGATATATTAATCAGGTCTATAGATTACATAATACCAATATCAATCTGTTTTTTAATTTGTGAAAATCAACAGAAGAAACATTTTGTTCAAATACAACGTTGTATTTGTTTAATTATTCTGTTCCCCCCGATAATCATTGAAGCAAATTTATGAGGTCTTATATTTGCTCTATGGAACATATCATCAGCTTAATAACTAGCAAACCATTTGTCAAGTATTAAATCCGCTACCGTTTGTTGCATTATTATTATAAACTCACAAAAAAGAGAAAGAGGGTTGCAGTTTACTAGGAAACTATTGAACCAAGCGTTCCCAAAGGATAAATTTGATGTTATCCCTTCGAATAAAATATGAATACTATTATAATTTTGTTTTTGGAAAATCTGTGTTACAGATTCCATTTCTGTTAGCCATAATCCTATCTTCATTTCCTTGTTTTTGACATCACCGTAAGCGACTTATCACTGAATTCTACATACCATCAGCAACGCGAAAGGTGCCAAAATTGGAGCAGGAACTAATTGACCTTTCCCTGGAACACTGGAGATCATCTAAGGTTTTCGGTGGTGTTCGAGTTGTTCAATCTGAAGTTTTCTGTGTAGAGTCTGCGGACTAACTTTTTTTTTTCGAAAAAATCAAGCATCTTGATAATTTCAGTTTCATTATTATCGGAAATGGTGACTTAGTGGTTGTTTTCTGCGATGAGAACACAAATACGAATACTTTATTAAAACTCCCATTGATCCATAAAGGTCATGGTACATATAATGACATAATTAATTACACAATGATGCTAATGATAATGATACTATGCTAAATTATTGTCTATACACAAGTATGCGTGGTAGAACTGTTAACTTTTTAAATCTGTAAGTTTTTTCTTAATTTGTAGAAATTCTGACAAAAGTAATGGCACCACCAGGTATAGAAGGACCTTTCAGACCTCAGATTTCACCTGATTCATGCCCAAATCAACTTGCCAAATTAATTGAAAGATGCTGGGATGAAAATCCTGTAAATAGACCATCATTTAAATCAGTTGGGGGTGTCATCAGAAAAATAAGTGTGTAAGTATGGTTGGTACGTTAAGAGAGGCAACTCTATACCAATAATGTGTTTATAAAAGGCAAATTCAAAAATGCTTTTAAACTTTCCTGTAAAAAAAATAAGGAATGATATGCGTTATTTTGAGCTTCGAACATGAAATGGATTCCACAAACGTGCCTGTGATTTTTTATCCAGAATCTACCACACTTAATGAACTGAATGTCTAGGCGTTGAAAATACGTCAGTGGAAACACCACAACAGCGGATTCAAACAAACAAATTGTAGAGACAAGTTCGTGACATATTTTTAACATTTACATTGCACGAATATAAAGTTATAGATGTGAAAAGCTGACATGGAAACGGTTTTTAATTATCCCAAATTAGGATTGTAACAGTTAGTGAACATTAGTCATAAAGAAAAACAAAATTACATGTTGATATAATTTATAAAAAAAGACAAGTGATATTAAGTTTAATTACAGTTTTAAGTAAAGTCGTGTTCCAGAAAATGTTACTGTTTAAAAACAATTCTGAATTACCAAAAGAAAAATAACTCATAATTTACCTAATAAAGCGCTTTGAAATATCATTTTGTGGTATTGGCGTTTTTGAGCAACTTTCAAAAAAAGCTCATGCATTATCTACCCGTTAATCATTTCACTAGTGAACCAAAATAATAACACCCAACAAAGATACCAGGCTTGACAGGTAGTCGACATATGCACTTTGTTTATCTCAGCAATGTAGATCTTATTTCTAAAGGGCAACGAAACAGCCTGAGATTTTTGCAATAGATAATTTAAAAGAACATGTCACTTTAAAAAGCAAAAATGAATAAAACTATATTGTTTCGAGTTGTAATTCGCTCTGCTTCTCGAAAAGAATAAGGTCCTCAAATGCAAGTCGTTGGATTTCTTTGCGTCTTTTAAACATGCTGGTATGAAACTGTTTAACAACGTGGTAGTGACATTTTGCTAAAACTGAAAAAAAACATTCTACGGGTATAAGATTTTCAAAAGGGTTCATCTGACCTCATATACTGTTTTTTTTTTATTTTTCAGTGATATAAGGGAACGGTTTTAACAATTGTTTCTGATAATTAGCATTTCATGTTTTGGTCTTTTCAGTTCGTTTTTTTTATTACACCTACTAATTTGAAGATTCAATACAAATGTTCCAACTGAAGAAGGGTTGCAGTGCATGTTCTCATTCTATTGTTTATGTGGGGTAAATTGACGTCAATATTGATGTTTCCAAGCACGCGAGTACAATTTGTTAACGTTTGGGACTACTTGGGAACTTATTTTTGACAGAAACGACAAAACTACTAGTAGTCATTTTATCGGGAATATCATAAATTTATATCCCATATCGAAATAATTTTGAATTTTAAATAAGTTTCAGTTAACATTTTATATAGCTCTCCAAAAAGACATTCTTAACATATTTTATGAGGTCAGACAAGCCTTCTCAATCCTTTGCCTTTTTTCATATATCTGATTTGAAACAACTGTATTATGTCACCAGCAATCAGAGCAAAGAAGCACTTGATATGATGAAGTAATAAGTAATAAACCTAGACTTTCTTCTCACACCTGACTAATGAAAACATAATTTATACTTTATCTGAACTTTGGACGTCAGGCAATGAGTGTTTTATTGGTATTCCTGAATAAGAAAAAGAGTTAAATTCGTCTTTTTGAAAATTTACAGACATTTTGAGATAATGTATTTTCCATATTTTAATAATAAACGTTGAAATTTTTTTTTTCTATACAGAGGAAAAGATAACAACATTCTAGACAATTTGATGAAGAGAATGGAACTGTACGCAAACAATCTAGAATCATTAGTTAACGAAAGGACACGTGCATACATGGAAGAAAAGAAAAGAGCTGAAGATCTCCTTCACAGACTTCTCCCACCGTAAGTTTAGATTTATTAAAAAAAATAAATAGGTTCAAAACTCTCGTTAAAATTGTCTTAGTAATTTTTGTTGACATCTCACATTGCAGCTGAACTAAATCGATCAGGCAGGATCCTGGCTAAAATAATTTGACACGACGAAAAGGCTGCCTCGAACTCTCTCTGCACATATATAGTCAATGTATTTTTAGTTTTAAACTTCGGATCTTATCTCATGAAATTTATTTCAGTATCAACCTTTTCAATCCTTTTGCTATTTTCATAATTGTTTATATTTTTAAAAGAATTCTTGTAGATCCCTTGGGAATTCTTCGATCATTTTATAACAAGCAATAAGTCATTCCAATTTAGCTAGACTGGATAAGTTTCTACTTTGTTATATCAGCAATGTCTTCGCTTTAGAGCTATCAAGAATCATGACATATTAAACCTCTCATTTGTCTTTACTGAGTACTTTTATGGAATATTTTTTGATAAACGGATGACACAGAAACTAAATTGAAAGTCTGAAAGACATGCCAATTAAGCGATCTAACGTTTCTAAATTTCGGAACTTTATTTCACACCTCTATCGTTCAGTAATAAAAACATTATTTTCCAGGTATGTTGCTGATAAATTGTCGTCTGGGAACAGTGTAGAACCAGAATCGTTTTCAACAGTATCTATCTACTTCAGTGATATTGTAGGATTTACAGTCATTGCAGCATTAAGTACTCCACTTCAGGTATAATTATGAGTATGCTGTAGATTCGTAGCTTTCATTGAGTTTGTGGGCATAGTTTGACCACGAATTTCCGTATTGACAAACTACAAATTTCCTTTAGACTTGTTTACTAAATTTGTCAAAACTAAAAGTGAAGCATCCATGAAGATGCAATTTTTAAAATCCACGGAAGAAGGTTCCAATGGAAATACTGCAGACCCACTATCAACAGTAAACCTGCTAGTATTTGATGTTACATATATATATAAATCAAAAATTGGACTCAGCTTAATCATCATAAACAAAATAAATACGATATCAGTATCAGTTATTCTTTGGTATGGAATTTCAGATTGAAGAAATAGAAAATAAAGCGTAAGATTTCTCATAGTGGCACTTACTCGTTTTAACCAATGTTTAATTGTTTGTTCTTCAGATAAAATAAATACAAGACGTCAAACAATGGATCCACCAGTGATGAATGTTTTTTCCTAGATTTCTTACTTCCCTGTTTGTACCTCTTTTTCAGGTGGTTGACTTGCTGAATGATTTGTATATCTGCTTTGACACTATTCTTGCGAAATACGACGTTTACAAGGTAACATTTTATAGAATGATCAGTTAACAGTTAATTTGGGAAACATGCTTGATTGAAAGTTGGCAGTCATTTTCAATTCCAATTAAACTGTAAGATTTTCTTTTGAAAAAGTATAAAGTCTTTTTTTATAGAAAACATATTATCACTGTATCTTGGTGAAGTAGCTAAGGCGTTTTATTGTTATTTTAAAAAAAATCGTAATCACAAATCCAACAAGCACATTATGTAAAGTCAAGTTACTTTCAGGACAAAACGCTTTTCATTCAATTTAACTATATTTTATGTATATCTGTTAAAATATAGACACGGAATAGTAAATCTTTATTAAAAAAGTTGATACTGAAAAAAAGTTAAGTGTCCAAAAACAACATTAACAAAATATAATAGCATTGTATATCCTTTCGCAAAAGTTCGATTTTCAATAGGATGTCCCAATTTCTGTTCGTTAACTTGTTCTATTAATGTAATGTTACATTTTCAAATTACCAGTTTTGTTATTCATTTAATCGAAGACGTTCTCTTAGAAATATCGTAATACATATTTTGTTTCGAAGGAGGCTTCGCTGTCAACCCCAGTATAGGAAATTGGATTATCGGGAGATACCGTCAAACACCAAAAAATAGTGGAAAAGGTCATCAAATTTACCAGACTTATAATTACTAGCTCGCAAAATGATACCCCTGTTCACTTCAATTATTTCCTTGTTAATTGGTCCGTCCACAGGTTCATGTAACTCCTCATCAAGACACTGGACAAGAACCTGTTTGCTTATTAATGTCATTTCAAGATATATGACTGGTTACAGAACATGTTTGTTTCGGACGAGAAAAATGCTACAAAGAAAGTCATAAAAACCGGAAATTTATTTGGAAAACAAAACTCAATCTGATTCCTAAGATTTTGATTTTTTTTGCCATATCCACGCGGCCGAAACTTCATGCTGTTATATCATGTTCTTTTAGAACGACAATTTTTCGGTACCTCCCGATAATCCAATTTCAATTACCGGAGTTAGCAAAGAAGACTCCTTCCGAGCCAAATACGCATTACGATATTTCTTTTAGAAATTTGTCGATAACAATGATATTAAATGAAAACAATTTCATTATACTTCGTAAAAAGACGAATATTTTGACACTCGTGGATCTTCAATATGAACACCTTTTTAGAGTCTAGTAATTTTGGAATATCCATATTTACTGTTAATAATAGGTTGAAACTATTGGTGATGCATACATGGTGGTGTCTGGTTTACCTGTCCGGAACGGTAACAATCACATCCGGGAGATATCCAACATGGCCCTCGATATAAGACATAAAGTTTTGGATTTTAAAATTCGTCATTTGACAGACAGAAAACTGGAAATCCGTATTGGACTTCATTCAGGTAAAGCGTTATGTATGAGAAATAATATTCTCTAACTTTTTCACTATTTTCACAATTCCCAAAATGCAACCGATTGTGAAAAATTGTTCTCCTCACAAGTGAAATAACTGTTCTCGGCAAATAATTGGTCGAAATTTGATTATAACGTCAAATTTTCTTGGTTTTTTCTGAATTTCCAAATGTGACTTCATGAAAAAAGACGACCATGCCTGATGACGTCACATATAAAGAACACAACTTTCTGCAAATCTTTGAAAAAGAAGGATAAAAATCATTAGAGAAACAGATTCCACCACTATAACTCGTGTATTACGATATTTCTCCACTCTCAACCGTTTAATTTTTTAACTATTTAAAAAGCTCGGCAAGCCTCGTGCTTTAAATATTAAAATTTAACTGTCTCGAGTAGAGAAATATCATAACACATTTGTTGCAGTGGTGGAATCTATATTTTTGGTATCAAGAACAATTTTGACAGCAAAAATACAATTTACAAATATAATAACATGTGTGGGCTACCTAAACTGCAGGTATTACCAGTTCACAAAATGATCAACAAATAAAATCCAAAAAATTGGTCAGATGTCCGATTACATTACATTTTGTTTGCAGTTTGTATTTACATTTTAACTGACTGAGAGAATCATATACATGATGTAACAGTCACAATAAAGTCATTTCAACGACTTACTATCTGCAAAAACTAACGTTTAATTTTTTCCCCAGATTTCGATTATTTTCCGTTGTTTTTTTTAGCAAAATCAGCTAGTAATGAAATGAAAATAATAAACGTGAGAACTTATTGAGACATACAAGACATATAAGACAGAGGGAATATTAAATGAATAGTCATATCAACACAAATGTCAACCCTTAAACTAAGCAGATGGGGGTATGATTAATTGTTTGTTTCTTGATTCACGTTCAGTGTCAATTTTTTTATGCATATTTAGGACGATCTTGGGTTGTATGAACATGGAGTATATATTAAACGTGATATACAAACCCTCAGATAATATTTCGCAATGCAATAATATGCAGAGGCCTTATAGTAACCGCGTTGTCCTTTCACCATGTTTTTTTCCATAATATGATATTGAGTAAGATTTAAATGTCATATCATTTGATTTTTGAATATAGCATACCGTGAAGCTATTTAATGTGGTGTTTTAGTTTAGTTTTTGTTGACTAATGTTTACGCGAGTTTTGACATTTGGTTTTTAAAATCTTTTTCTAAAACACGATTACAGGACCAGTTGTAGCCGGAGTGGTTGGGCTCACTATGCCTAGGTACTGTTTGTTTGGAGATTCTGTCAATACGGCATCCAGAATGGAATCTACATCAGAAGGTATTATTTTAAGAAGCTTCATGCCAATATGTTTACTAGTTTAATATGACTAAAAGTAGATGCGTGGTATATGTTAATAAGACAGCAACACACCGACACCAATAAACAAAATACAACAGTGTCGTCATAAATAGACTCAAATAGATGCAATATTTACCCTAAGAATAACGGTATAATGATAAACAGACTTTTACATATTACAGATAAAGAAAAAGTACAAAATAAATAAATAAATAAACAATAGAAATCCGTTATGAAAAAAAATATAAAAAAATTATCCAGTTTCTTAGAGTAAGCTGAAATTAACTTACCTGCTGTATTGAAACCATGCCGTGCTACAATCTTATTTCGTTGTCTTTATGACCCCGCTGCAGCAGAGGGAGCATTAAGTGGTTATCCTTGTCCGTCTGTACGTCCTTTCGTACGTCTGTCCGTAGGTCCGTCCGTCCGTACGTACGTACGTACATACGTATGTCCCGAAATTGGTTTCCGTTATCTAACTTTAGTGTGCCTCAACCAAATGTTATGAATCTAATACACTATGCCTATTACCACGATACACAGATCAAGTTTGAATTTGGATGGCTTCACTTTTACCATTCTAGATTTATGCCCCTTTACAAATGGAAAATAAATGCTAAATTTTTCGTTTCCGTTCTTTAATTTAAATGTGCCTCAACCAATTGTTATGAAACTTATACACAATGCTTATTTCCACAAAACTCAGATCAAGTTTGAATTTGGGTGGCTCCATTTTTACCGTTCGTGAGTAACGTCCCTTTATAACGTTATATGCAAGCAGGGGAGCATCACATTCTCCATTTATTTTTTTTTAAGTCATAGAATTTCATTAGCAACGAAAGTACAATAACCAGAACAAACTACAGTATTCAAATGCAGAACTTTGCTTTGCTTCAAACTTTATATTAGCGAAATGATGTTTTTTCCTTAACAATACTACACGCAGACGATATATAAACAATTGTTGATTTTGTTATTTGAAAAATATTTAGTAGGTCTTTATTCAAAAATAAGATCAGAGTTAAGCACACTCTTTTCCTCCTTTTTTTGAAGTCTTGGTTTACGGTATCCTATATATTCAATATTCATAAGAACTCTCAACTCTAAACATTAACTGTGAACATTGTGAATTACATAAACAAAAGTACCATAGCAAGAATCGCAAAAGCCTTCTCAGATCAACAGTCAATTTTCATTTCTTCTTCACTGGAATTAGAAAAAAAAGTACACAAGTAAAGAAGTACTAAGGTATACCAATAATTTTTGGCACACAACAAATGTATCCCGTTTTACAGATTTGATTTCTTTCGTATTTAAGCCATGAAGATACAAATGTCGCAGACGGCGAAGGATATATTGGATATCCATAATTTATATATCACCGAAACAAGAGGTGTTATACAAGTAAAGGTTAGTTTTTATATATCTATTTACAATAACGACGGATTAACGGTACAATCGGTTAACATTTACAGTTCCTTTTTGTCAATAATCCATGACAATAGTGTTCATCTCGGGTCACATTATATTTGTAATTTAAATGAGGGTTTCAGTAAAGAATCCATATTAGAAGAAACACGACCGGTTAAGTGAGGTTTTGTTGTTTTGACTGGATTTTTATCAATGTCTTTCTCTTGTGTCTATATACCCGATTGCTTCAATTTGAGCTCCGAAGTAAAACCAGTGATTAAAGTCATATTTACCATTAATTGTATTGAAACACACTTTAATTGAGCAAATCAAATCTGTATAGATCTCAAATGGTACAATTTCTTAAAAGAACTTAAAAATTAATCTGTTCTTATGATTCAATTGAAATCGAGAGCTATATTGCTTCAATTGTAACAATTAAGCTGTATGGATTAATTGAATCAAATTTTGTGAGTTGAAGATACATGGAGAAAAGATTAGACTCGCTTGACATTCCTATTGTACGGATTTGATTGAAACAATTGATATAATTGAATTTATAGAATGCGATATAGATAAGAATTTATTTGCTTCACAAGGCTTACACACATGATTAACTTTACAGATCTTCTATTGTTCGTGTTGCTCAGTCTTTAGTTTTCTATGTTGTGTTTTGTGTACTATTGTTTTTCTATTGATCTTTTTCTTTTCTAGCCATAGCGTTGTCAGTTTATTTTCGACTTATGAGTTTGAATGTCCCTCTGGTATCTTTCACATCTCTTTTACAATTGATTCAATTTAATAAATTAATCACGAACCTTCTATTGATTCAATTAAAATTAGGAGTATTTTAATGTATGGATAAATTGAATAAATTGAGTTTAATGAACAACAACATATGTATGGCGAAGAATTGACTCGGTCGACTCTCCGAAGTCAATTGAGTTAATTCTATAAACTGTTTTGCATGGATCCTTTTATATCAACTTAAATATTGAGTCAATTTAACTAAACAATTTGAGACTAATTTGACATCCATCGTTCAATGAATTCAATAATATCAACTTTACTGCAAAGAAAAAATGAATCTATTTATTTTAATATGTCAGGTATTAAACAATTTACAATTTGGATATTCAGAATTCAATTTAGAAAATTAATTTGATTGCACCGTACAATTCAATTCAAACAATTTGAACTATATATATATATTTATCAGTAAAATTATATGTATACATTTACTATATGAAAATAAGGAGATGTGGTATGATTACTAATGAGACAATTATCCACCAAAGTTCGCATGAAGTGAATGTTAGAAATTATAGGCAACCGTACGGTCTTCAACATTGAGAAAATCCATTTCCGTATAGTCGACTATAAAAGGCCCCGACATGAAAAGTATAAACAATTTAATTTAGAAATCTAACAGCTCGATTAATAACAAAACAATTTACGAAAAACAAATATGACAAACATCAACTACAGGCTCATGGCTTGGGACAGGCACATAAAGAATGTGGCGGGGTTAGTTAGACTTTTTTTATAGTCGTTTTCGATTGACTAAATTCATTGATGCTTTGTAAGTATTGAAATAAAGATTAATTGAGCTTGATTGACAAGTATATTTATTTAGCTACAATTGAATGAAATAAGAAAAACAAGAACAAGAGAAGCTAAAGATACCAGAGTCAAAAACAAAGTGACAAGATCATGGCAAAAAACGAAAAACAATCACAGACAAACAAAACACAACATAGCAAACTAAAGACTGAGCAAAACGAATCCCATAAAAAACCGGGGTGATCTCAAATGTTCCGGATGGGGTAAACAGATCCTGCTGCACATGTTGCATCCGTCGTGTTGCTTATTTAAGTACAAATAAAAAATAAGTCTAATTATGTTTGTCACATTTGAGGAAAGAGGACGGGATTGTGGTTAGGACAAAAGACCAATTCCGAGTTTGTCCTTCACCGGAAAAAAACTCGTCAATTATACGCGCCTTTATGACGTCAATTACCAGATAGAGGAGATCGCCTGTATCCCTGCACTGTTAACGTTCATCAAGCGTCTTAGTGATCGTCATTGTGCAGGATAAACTAGAAATAATGTTTGTTCTGTAGGTACTTAATCACAATTCCCTAATGACAGCAGTGCTGATTGTCAATTATGAGAATTCAATTTACTGAATAATACGTGCAATATAGCATCATAGTTTTCCAACCACTCGCTCAACATGGGAACGGAAGTGACGATGCCCCTAAACGCACGAATGATGTTCACTAAAACCAAAGTTTTTGACGGAAATGCATCGAACTCGAAAGTTGTCTACTGGAACATATATGTAGTCATCTGTGAAGATAACAATGTAGCAAATATACCAATATTGTAACATTGGCAAAAGTGAAGACTTCGTAATGACCGAAAGTTGAATATACAAACAATCTACAAAACACTACACAAAAAAACTAATAATGATAAACATTGACGATATTCTGTAGTTTCCTACAAGATAAGCAATTATCAAACATTTGTTTTATGAATATTAATCATTTAGCGTGGTATCTCATTTGTCGATGGCTATACTAGTTTTGTGAATATAAATCATTTAGTGTGGTATCTCATTTGTCGATGGCTTTACTAGTTTTGTGAATATAAATCATTTAGTGTGGTATCTCATTTGTCAAGGATTAAACTAGTTTTGTGAAGGCTATACTAGTTTTGTGAATATAAATCATTTAGTGTGGTACCTCATTTGTCACTGATTAAACTAGTTTTGTGAATATTAATCATTTAGTGTGGTAACTCATTTATCGGTTGTTATATTAGATTTTTTAAATTTTTAACCTGTAGTGTGTTTTCTCATCAGTGGAGGAACAGATGGGACAATCAAACACAATTCAGATTAAAAATATTAAAAATCTTTAAATTTGCGAGAGAAAAAAAGGCACAGCTTACGACAAACAAATGACAAAAAATATTATACTGTATCAAATAATTTTACTATTACTTTCATCAAGTTTAAAGCACTTTATTTGCAGTCTTTCGTATAATATAGGAATGAAGGTACAATAGGAATCCATCAGGTAGGTATTAATTCAAGTGTTAACATATTATCATTGTATCTTTTAGGGGAAAGGTGATATGGTCACTCACTGGCTAATTGATAAAACGAAAGAGCGAAGAGATACCGTAATAAAGTAATACTAACAGAAAGACAATGTAACATGAAAACAAACCAAATAATGTTGTCAAAAACGTAGGTGTCCTCACAGATTCATAATGCATGGGATTTCTTGACAATCATAGAATTAAATTATATCCTTATGTGTGTAAATTTTTAAACGGAATGGTGCTTTTAATTATTTTCTTTAACTTGAAAAAAGCTATTTGTCTATTATGAGTCAACAACATTTTCACATATTATTTTTCGTATTTTATACTTGGTCCTTAATGTATTATTTTTATATCAGCAGTGCTAATTGTCCTAAGGTGCCTTTATGATTGTTAAAATTGTATATTTTAAATTGTAAACATTTCAACGGAGCAGTTTAAGGTTACTTATGAATACTGTCTTCTTTGTCCCCTCAGCACAACCTCCAAATAAGGCCCTACTTTAGAAGCAGATAGATTCTCTGTGTAGAATTTTCCATTTTAACTTTATGTCTTTGGTCGGCTATAATGGATATAAGTTAAAAATAATGGCATCTCGTGAACAATCTTATTAATTATTTGTTAACCTATATGGTCTAACAGTTCGGGTATCAACGGCCCTGAAAATCTCTAAGTGAGTTATAGTCTAAAACAGTTATTTTGTCCTTAACATCATCTTAAAATTCTGAACAATAAATTATTCAGTGTTGTTCAGTTTTCAGTCGATTTTTAGACTTCTCCCCTGTGGTGAATTCAGTACTGTTCAGACAATTCACTTGCAATGAATTCAGTAACGTTCAGTAGCCTTTCAGACAATTTACTATGAAGTTGATGTGTACAGGTAAATAATAATTACTGAACACACTGAGCATAGACTGAACAGGTCTTAATTGACCGCAAGCGATTGTCTGAACAGTACTCAGCTTACCGCAGTGGATGAGTCAGAAAATTGACTGAAATGTTGAAAATGACTTACATTTGATTGTTCAGCCTTTTGAGATTTGTTGATATCAAAATGACCGTTTCAGATAAAAATTGATTATCACGTGATTTCCGAAGAATATTCAACATGATTATCATAAAAATTGAGAACAAATCTACAATTTAAACAACATTAATCGTACAAATTTTACAGTACCAGATGCTCGTATTTACCAATCCTTTCAGAATTTAAGTCCTTCTCAATGCTCTTCAACTTCGTTATTTATTTGGCCTTTTCAACCTTTTTTTTTAATTTGAGCGGCAATGATGAGTCTTTCGTAGATGAAACGCGTGTCTGGCTTACAAAATTTTAAGGCTAGTATCTATGATGTGTTTATACGAAAATTAATGTCTCTTACTGTTGCTCGAGGACAATAAATTTGAAAATCCAGAACCATACGTATACGTGGAAAACCTGATAAAACAAAACAAGACCAAAAGTATAGCCAAACGCGGTAAACAAATCAGATTCATGAAAATGTAAAATGCTTTGTTCCCAGCATAGAGATTGCGTCGCATATTTCACCTATTGCAACCGATTAGAAATATAAAATTTCTTTTTACGGATTTCTTTTTTCATTAAATGGTTAGAAAAAATATGAAATTATGTATCTGATTGTTATTTAATTATAAGTAATAATATTCATTAAGTAATTATACATAATTACATTTATAACAATATATTATTAGCTGTTATTATCAATTTTAAAGATGATTAAATGTCAACTAATATACAACTTCGTGCCTTTTACTGTTTTTTCAAAGCAGTTTTTTTTATTGCTTTATAAACAATGATTGTCAGCTTCGTTAAAATGGACGAAATCATAAATACTTTTTTCTTTCATGAAAAAGTTATGAATATTTGTAGCATTATTCAAATTTGATTTTAAGCATGTTTTATTCATAAGGATATAAACAGGATTGAGCAACAGGCACAGCATATTACAGCTCTCTTTACATTACATGTACAAGGTATAAATCCCATGTAAACAATGTAATATTTATAAGAAAAACATTACAGCTGATAAATGTATGAATGAGTGCACACAAAATTGAAAATCAAAGTATTACGTTAAACGTATATAAATGTTTATTGACAATCTTTGGAGAGTTTACAATTAGTTATGTTCATGCATATCATCGGAAAAATGATCTGTTTGTGTGTTGCAATCAATCAATATTCAGTCAACATCTTTATCAACTATTTAATAAATAAATTAAAAAAGGTCTTCGTGCTATACTTTTGACAATTAAACAGCAATGCTGGTTGTCTTCAAAGGATGACCGTCGTTTGGTATCATCCGATAAAATTGGTAGAATTGACCTTTAGGTTGCAATAGTAAATTATTTCTAATTTTACGATGACTGATGCTACATTTTCTCATCCCATAGATAAAATATTCAGAAATTTCAAGTAAATTTTAAGTATACATATACCTGGGTGTCCTTTATATTTTGGGGAGATGAAGCTGTTATAGATAATGTATATTTTAAGGTTTTTCTTGTTGTATAACAGAATTGGTAAAATGAAAGCCCGACCGTAGGGAGGTTTTCTTTTAGACAATCCTAACACCACGAGGTGTGTTATGCGACAAAAAAAACCCCTTAAAATATGCATTATCTGACTTTTATACAGTCACAAATATTATTTCACACAAAGAATTGCATGATTTGCATCCTATTTTACCAACCACACTAAAATGGGGTATTCTTTTTTTGGTGCGTTCAGGTTTTAATACGCCTTACGGGCTCATTTATAATCTGAAATAAAACTCACCAGTTGATCTAAATATAAACTGTAGAAGTCATTATTCAGTTACAATACAAATATTGCTGTAACTGCTTGAAGCAAGACACAAATGAATTGTTACGGTTGATGCAAAATACAAGTGACTTTTGTAAGTTATTAATTGTATCAACTTAGTTTATTCAAGGGGGATGTACTTTTCTTCTTCTGTTTTTTTCATGACATTTATATCGCGGAGAAGCATTTTTTCAACAGTTATTAACGAACTATTCAGTATAATTGCTTTCTCTCTTTTGTCTGACAATACATTTTTTTAAACTCAGAACGCCACCCCATTATAAAGTACGTGACTATTATTCTATAGAAAATAAGAATATTTGGTCATTTGATCATTTGATAGAGTAAAAGGTATAAATAGAGATGTAAAAAGTTAGGAACTGGCACGAAGAGAGCACGAAATCGTGATACATGTACATGTATGTAACACGAAAAAAGAATATCCATGATAAGTAAAAGTATGAATTCCAATAAAGTGTGAATCAATAATGTTCGAAATTCTACACACGATTGTGTTAAAAATGGCTTGTTTTAAAAGTGTTATGAAAATTTTGCATTATTAAATTCATCTCACATAATGTCAATTTATTGTAGCAATAAATTAACAAAAAACTTCACATTATTGTTTCAAAGGTTAAAATGTACGTTAACGACAATTTTTGGTATTTCAGTCTAATAAACAGAGGAAAGAATTATTTCTGCCTTAAACCTATCAAAAATGGAAAATTGAAAAGTAAAACCCAAATTTGCAACAACACACGATAACTATCAAACGAATTAAATGTTTGAGTAAATTAGAGTTTGCATTTTAATCAAGCAAAATAATGACCCTACATAGGTCATTATTTTATGCCTTAAAGCAAAATTCATTGAAACTTGGTATTGTCCGGGTTGATTCCTCAAAAGAAAGACCTATCATTCTGAAAGAAAATAACTCTATATAGGTATATAGATCATGATAAGAAGTAGTTCTTGCAAGATATTATCATTTTGATTTCTCAAATAAAAAGGGTTGGAAAATACGGCGCTGGACTATCTAATTTAAGTATACTGGTGTCATCCCGTTTAGTTTTTATAAAACAGTGTAAGCTTATATTAATTTTTTAATTTTCAAGGGTTTCTGATCACAATTCAATGTAAAGTTTATGTCTTTAATATTCAAGAAGTGTGCTTAAAACAAGTAAAATTTCAGCTTTTATTTTGATATGTTCGGAGAGTTCATTTTATTCAATTTAAAAGTGATATTCAAAACTCTAATAAAAATTATTATAAAGATACATTAATGGGTTATCCAAATTAGCATCATGTTATATGAAAATAAACTAATTGGGTGCTGTATTTTTATGAAATAATTCAAATTCAAATAATGTTAACAAAATTACTTTTCGAGTAGAAAAATAACGCGTGATTTCAGTCAAAAAGGGTAATTCGCAAAAAAAAAAAACAACGTTTCTCTGGTAAAAAAGGTAAATAACAAAAGTACCGAACTCCAAGGCAAATTCAAATCGGAAAGTCCCTTATCAAATGGCAAATTCAAAATCTCAAACACAGTAAACGAAAGGAAACCAACTATCATATACCTGACTTGGTAAAGGAATTTCCATATGTAGAAAATGGTGGATTAAACCTGGTTTTATAGCTAGCTAAACCTCTCACTTGTATGACAGTCGCATAAAAATGCATTATATTGACAACAATTTGTGAAAAAACAAACAGACATAATAGGTAATAATTTCAAAAATAGGGGTCCGGCAGTCAACATCGTGTTATAATCTTATTCACTGTTAAAATCAACAAATGTATCAACAAAGAAAAACAAAATGGCATATAGACAAAGCACGTAAGCAAAAATAAAAAACAAGAACACAAAAAATGACCACAGCACAACAACACATTGACGGGATGCATAAGTACCGAGCCACGCCAAACGGATATTACCAAAAATAGACTAAACAGTAAAGGTTAATAATTTACAAAGACTAATAAAAGAACACTATATCATTAAGATGATAAACAGCGTCAGTATCTAGAATCTATACTTCAAGACCATCATGTATTATTTGTGAAGTTGATACAGAATTTTTATCAACTAGGTCTTGGTATTTTCTGATGAACTTTTTTAGAAAAAGAACTAATCGTTCTTTGACATAACACTGGTTCACCAACTTTCTGCTCAGACACTGGTGACGTTTTATAAAGTCTGAGTAGCAAATAAAAGCTCTTGAATACCGAATGAGTTGGGAAATGTATATTCCATATGCAGGTAAAGTTGGTATATTGCTACTAAGGTGGGGGAAATTGATAATTTCAAAATTAAAATCGTCTCGTTTGTCATAGATTCTGATTCTGAGAAGACCGCTTATGTCAAATTCGAGGTATAGGTCTAAAACTGAGGCGAAGAAAGCCATGTCTGTTGTTTCTTTAAATTCAAGTTCTGGAGGAAATTTTAATGGAACCCAATCAGAAAAGTTTGGATTGTTAATGTTGTTTCATCATCAATATATCTGAAAGTGAAATTAAATGATCTGGCTTCTTTAATCTTCTTTTTTTTACAAGTGTCTGAAAGAACACCAAAAATAAGAAGAGGTCGGCATGGAGAGACACACAGTTCGTTCCCATAGGAATGCCGACAATTTGTTGAAAAAGCCTACCTCCAAATTCAACAAATATGTTGTCAATAAGAAACTCCAGCATACAGACCACTTGTTCCTCTTTGTAGCATGTTTTACCTTTTTGTTCATTATTAACAAAATATGCCGTATGGTATCCCAAAGTAATAAATTTATAGCGTATGCTACCATTTTTATATTGAAAAGCATTGCTATATTTCTTTTAGACGATTTTTCAATTTCACATGGGGAATGGTGGTATACAGGGTTGAAAAAATCAAAAGTTTTGATAGAATTATTTTCAGAGCAAGATTGAGATTTAAAGTTATCCAGAAGTTCTTTAGAGATTTTAGAATCCACATATGGTTAATACCACTACGCGAGTAAACAGTATTTCTGAAGACCCTCTTTCACTGCGGACAACATTTTTGTCAATCTAATGCACAATTCCTTTGTAGAACATGCAGATAAGCCGGCAATGTACCGTTGTGTGTACGGAACTTTGTGAAACCTTATGTATCCAATACAAAGAAGGTAAATCCTCAGATTTGCTGTTGAATGTAATGTTCTCATTGAAGCCATGAAGGACTTATGATTCGCCAAAATCTCATCCTTGTCAACTGATATGTTTTTGTATGTGGAATAACCTGAGTGCTAATTTTTTCCTACGATTGTTTACAGTATACATAAGAGCTAACAATGAATGAAAAATAGTTAAGCAAACCTAAGTTTATCTAATTTGTGCTTTAATGTATTTTATTGTTCCTGTTCGTATCTTTTTTAATTTAATCATGACTGTAATAATACATAATTACCGTCCTGTTATCGAATGTGCATTTTTCTTCATATTATGATGAAATGACAGTTGACGTATGTTTTTACAAATAAGAGTAAGTTTCTACCCCTTGAATGGATTAACTTAATTGTATTTGGCAAAACATTTCCTAATTTTTGATCCTCAGTGTTTTCATCTTTGTACTTTATCTGGCCTCTGTTTTGATTCTAGTGTCACTGATGAGTTTATGTGGACGAAATGTGCGTCGTCTGGTGTACAAAATTTTAATCCTGGGATCTATGATCAGTTTATTTTATATTGAGTGAGAGTTTAAGTAATCGCAGAATTTATAAATAGTCTCAATTTTTAGTAATAAAGTGAATCAGATATGTAGGTAGTCTTGTTTGTTTTTTTTATTTTAGGTCATTTATATGTCTTGTAGTTAGTATGACGTCCATTTTCACTGAACTAGTACACATTTTTATTTAGGGTCCAGCTG